GAAGAGGAGGAGGAACTCCTGTGTACAGTCCAGCCACATTGACTTTTCTATGTTTTTATTTCTGTGCATAGATCTCCAGTCATTTTGTAGCTTTTTGTTACCTGTTTGAGAATAACTAAATAAATAAATAAATGGATGTTATTTTTGTGAAATGAATGTTTAAATTATGGAGGATTTTAACCTTTTTCCTGTTGTTTAAATAGAATGTGTAAAGGCTTTAGCTCATACATGCTGCTTTTTGGAATAAAAACTACATTTGTTTGTGAAAGATGCTTTTGGCTTTGTTTGCTTCTGAGTGGAAATCAGTGTCTCCAGAATATTTTATTTTTACACATAGTGAGTGTTTTCAGTGTGTGATTATATAAAGAAACTTCAAAAAACACTCAATCACTGACCAGGAACAGAAGTGTTGGGAATCAATACATGAGCTTCGTTCACAGGTCAAACAATCAACTCCCAAATTTGTACTGAAGAAAAGGACTCGTTTCAAAACAAAAGCTCCGTCTCTACTCACCCTCACATTTTTGAAAGCTTTTCTTGAAGGTATTCCTTCCAGGTTTAAGCAGATAATTCCTGATAGATTTGATTTAATTAACTGGTAATGAGGGTCTGGGGTAGTTACTGGTGAAGTTCTAATTGCTGGCTGTCAGACTCATAGCCTGGGGTCATGTGTGGGTGGGGGTGCTGGGTGGGAGTGGGCTGTGCAGCGTCGCCTGTGGTGCTGCCCTCAAAACTACAGCAGACTGAATTAGACACAGCCTGAACCAAGGTCATGTGCTACATATTCCATGTGTGTCTGCTGCCAGTGCTCAGCGTGCATTTACACGAACATTCACTGTTAGTCTTGGAACATTTCAGACAAAACAAGTACTGGCTTCAAACCTTTCTGATAGCTGCTACAGTGTAATTAATACTCTTCCAGGAATCCTTTCATACTGCAGTAAACATTCTTCAAGAAGTCAAGCAGGCTTCAGATAGAGGCTGCTGTATTTCTCATATAGTTTTTCTCATCGGAAATTAGTTGATGACTAAAATCCTTCATCCTGTTCAAATATAGAGTTTGAATGAATGAGAAATTATTATAATTGAATTAATATTATTAATTGGGTTTTGAACAGTGGAGGTACAGACCTAAATATTGATACATGTGATTGTGATTCAATCTGCATATATTTCTGCCACCACATGAATATTTCACTAGATTCACTGATAGTGTTTTTTCAACAAAAGTAGCTCTGGTTCTTGAACTGGTCCTGTTCAAGATTCTTGGAACTGGTGCTCTCTATCGAACAGCCTGCATAATGCACAGTGACCTATAGAATATGACCCACCCACTTTGGTTCACAAGGAAAACCTGCCTACTTTTCGGGTTCTGAACCAATTGATATTTGGTTGAAATCCTCCGAACAGTCAAAACTAGCTGTGCGAACCAAAATGGAGCCAGTTCCTTGCTGGTGGAAAAAGGCCTATGAGAGTCGTGCTCTGATCACATTCATGTATTCACACCTGGAAGCTGCCCAGTGCAACCACAGTCTGATCTGCTGCCACTGAGCAGGTCCATCCGAACAATTGGAGTTAAGGGCCTTGCTTATGATCAGCCTAGATGAGCTGAGGAGACCTAGCTCACCCACCCCGGACTGGGGGATTGAACTGATGGCTTTCCACCTTTAGGTCACAACTGCCCATCAGTGAAAGACAGCTGACTCATCACAGATGTCTTGTTCCTTGTTCCTGCTGCCCATGTGCTGTTGATAATGACATCAGACAAATGAAGAAATCCACCAAAGCAAGAACATCTCTGATCACAGCTCACACACACACACACACACACACACACACACACACACACACACACACACACTATTTGGGCAATCCTAATTAATTCCAATTAGAAATGCAAATAAGAAGTGAGATCTTTGATTAAGCAGCAGTCAGGCTCCTTGTTGGTTTGTGATGTCCTCCTCTGACGCAGCCCAGTTGTGGGGAGAAGGAAGGAAAAAAGTATTGGGACACAGGAAGTGTTGTAATTAATGTAGAAATGCTTCATGTGAGATATTTCTAATTAGTCCCCTGTCCCTCCCTCTGTTGCAACAGACACACTTTTGGCCTGCCAACTTCCCCGTGTTCCACAGGATGCAGAGGAATTACAGACTAATTAAACAGAGACGGGCACTGGGATTCATCTGGGCCCTGCAATTTACATATGAGCTAATTAGCATATGATGGAACTAATGACTACTAATTTAGCCAATTACAGGGCTGGGTTATCTCATTACGCTTAAGGAAAAAGGAGGCTTGGAGGAAAAAGTATTGTTTTAGTCACAGACAAAGAGGAAAGTGGGAGAGGACAGTTTTTACCTTTAATTATCCAGGTTCAATTGTTGGTGGTTCAGTGCCCTGCTCAGGGGCTCCTCAGCAGATGTGGAGGTGAATATTATTCATCCACTGAAAGATCAGAGACATCACAATATCGTCACAGCACTGACACTCATGTCACAACATACTGACAGGCTGTCAGTGGTTCTGATCTTAGGTGGTTTCCTAAATGGATCCTTCTTTTGTCCACCACAGTGTCTTTTGGGCTACCCCAAGTGTCCATTTCAATTCAATTCAATTCAGTTTTATTTGTATAGCACCAATTCATAACAGAAGTTATCTCAGGACACTTTTCAAATAGAGCAGGTCTAGACCGAACTCCTTAAAACATTATTTACAGAGACCCAACAGTACCACCATGAGCAAGCACTTGGCGACGGTGGCAAGGAAAAACTGCAGAAAAAGAAAAAGAAGTAGAAACCTAGGACAGACCCTTCGGCTCTAGGTGGGTGGTCGTCTGCCTCAACCAGTTGGGGTGAAAGAAAGAGAGAGAAAGAGAGAGAGAGAGAGAGAGAGAGAGAGAGAGAGAGAGAGAGAGAGAGAGAGAGAGAGAGAGAGAGATGAAAAAGAGCCTGGTCCTGTAAGAATGTGGACATTGGACACTTCTGCAAAACGTCGATCATGTTCAGTGACATTTCCAACGCCAAAGTTTTTTTTCACATTTTTGAAAATATCAAACTCACTTCCTCATTTTCCATTGATTCCCTAATATAGTGATTCCCAATCTGGGGGTTCTTGATTGTAAAGGTCCAGTGTGTAACATTTATGAGGATGTATTGTCAGAAATGGAATATAATTACTTTTATATAAGAATTAGTTGTGTTTTTGTTATCTAAGAATGAGCCATTTCCGGCATGTTTCTATAGTTGCCCAGAACAGACAACCCAAACACTGAATCTAGATAGGGCATGTTCCACAGCCACCGTAGTTTCTCCTACACACGGAAAGGGAGGGTGAAAAAAGGATGTTGTGATGTGCAATGACAATGCTGCATGCCACTAAATCCTTCACAGTGGACCTTTAACTTTTTTTCACACCCCATAAAGCTGCGAAAATGAAATGAACAGCATAACATAACGATTCCTATATATAGAAGATAATACACTAATGAAAACATTCCTATGGATATTATATTCCGTTTCTGACAATAAATCCTCTTAAATGTTACACATATTATCATATTAAGATATAAACAGGATAAGGGCATGGTGAAGAGCTGAGTGCAAGGGGTTCCCAACCTGGGGTTTGGGATCCCCACTAAGGGTTGCCAGAGTTCATGGGGTCGAGAGGCCTTCTTGATTTTAAAACAGGTAAGAAAACTAAAAATATACAAAGCAGACCCATATCTCAGTATTTGGTTCACGTCTGTGTGGAAATATAAAATAAAAAGTAAATGTGTAACAGAACAATGAAAAGAAAAAGCCTTAATGGCATTTATATGATTGTTAAAAATGATTTAGTAATGATTAGTTGGGTTTGTAAAAATACTTTTTCTATGGCATATTGTTCAGAATCACAGTAAGGACTCAGAAGTGAGGGACAGGTGCATAAATAATAAAAAAGGAAGAATTATAATATGGTGTGAAGTATAAAACGATTCAATTTGAAATAATATCACACTGCAAATGAATTAGCCTTTTTTATTTATCTCAACATTGAGACCACTGTTGAGGGACATGAATGAAAGTTGTAGACCCATAAAATGCTTCATAATTTGTATGAAATCACATGATGTACTAATTATTTTAGCAGTGTTTTTATTTATCAAGCTTTATGTGAAACATTTGAACTTAAATGTAAAATGTCACTGCTTTTATTGTTTTACTCTCGTGTATTCATATATCATATATCAGTGGCTCCTGCATGTTCATAATGTTTGCATATGTTGCATATATACAGTTTGCTAATGCTACCAAGACAGTTTATGTGTTAAATTGTGTGGAACTGGTGAAATAATCTAAACCTTGTATGTTAGCCACTCACTCAGATCACCTTTGTAAACCTGGGTGCAAATTTAGTTTGAAACTTGACTGTTAGTAGGATAAACTGTATGACACTTGCAGTGATCTTTTCAGGATCTAGTCTATTTTTTCCAAAGCTGTGAGCAAAATTCTTATATCTCCATGCAGTCAGTTTTTCTCATTATAAAATCATCCAAACATCATAAGAATCAGCATCGCAGGATTCACACACAGGAAATTACTTTCTGGTTTATTACTTTTTTTTAGACAATTGTTTATGACTTTACTAAGCAGTCAGTTTACTCTGTTTTGCTTTAAAAAAAACATGATAACCATGCACGTTACCATTATTGAAATGTTTCTTGGCATTATAAAGAGCCCATCAGCCATCAGTCTTGTGAAGGGGGTGTGTACCTCATATTTATCCTGGGTGTATATATGTTTGTGTATATAAATAACTGTATATATTGGTTGATTTTATTTATTCTCTGTAGTTCTATGAATTTAATTATCTTTTTATATGTGTGTAGCAAGAAGCAACTCCCCCTACTTTCATTCTATTTTATACAACCTTGTGTGAGGTCAGCAGGAGTCTGGTGTGTCTCTGCTGCCCTCTACTGTCACAACACAGCACTGTACTGGGAAATAATGGAGCAGCAGATGTTTAAACACTAAGGAAGCCCTTTATTAGTTCTCCAACCTCATAGGAAGCTGAAGTCTATGAGAGCTAACAGCTTACAAAAACAGAAAACACAGTTATTTACAGTGCTGTAAACTCAACATGTTTCATATTGACAGAGAAACTGTTAAAGGCATGCACAGGTTCAGATTGTGGTCAGATAACAAAACAATAACAAACGAAATAAACTATTTGCATACAAGTGAAGGCTTATATTTAACTGTGCCTTTAGGTTTGAATAAGGAAATTTCAAAAGGTTTTTAATCACAGAACACAGTAAAAGGTCCAAACAGTTAAATCACAATTTCAAACCAAACACCTCATGTTGCTGCCTCACACAGAAAAATCGAGAAAAAACAGGCTGACATTTTGCAGTTCAGAGTCAGATAGGAAGATGAATCAATCAGTTCATCACAGTGTTTATCTCCAGGTTACAGACAGATCCAGGATATATAAATAATGTGTGTCTGATATGTTTTTTCCTGCAAAGAAAAGTAGAATTTCCACATCCTTAGAAAGGCATCTACTCCTTCTACCTCATTAAAACTTCCAGAATCTCTGAATATACAAATGTTGTTCGTTTCTAAAGTTTCCCTGCTGGACACAAGATGTCTCCTACTTCACTGTAAAGTCCATTCTCAGTGGATATGCACTGGTGGCTTCAAGTTTCTACATCACACTGTACGAGTTGCATACTGGACCAGGTATGACTTCAAAACTATTTGTGAGGCCCCGCCCCTTAAAAATCAGCTTTTCAATGAGCTCAGAGAAACTTTCCACTTTGAGCGGATGAATGTGAAAACATCCTTCTAGTGTTGAATAAGAAACAGATTTCTGACTGGAGGGGAACTTTAAGAAGTAGTGCTGCCTTAGGGGGTTGGGGGTGGATGGTGCATGTACAGTGTAGGACCAGAGGCGACAGGTCATGTCTTGGGTGCCACATGTACACTTAAGTAGCCACAGTAGCTTAAGCTACTAAAACACTGTTCAATGTCAGGGAAATAATTCAATTCAATATTTTTTTAAGGTTTAATGTTACAGTAGATTTGTTTAAATAAATGTTTCTTTAACCAGAACCAAGTGCTTGAACTTGAGAAGTGGACATTTACAGTGGCTTTGCTGAGAAGTCCTGAACGTACCTCTGCACTGATACCCATCCTCTTATCTGACTCTGAGAAGCAGATTTCCCAGAATAATGGAGTGTTCCTTTATGACCTCCACCAAGGAGATTATGTTTTTGGTGCCGTTTGCATGTTTCTGTCAGCAGGATTATGCAACAACTACTGACCCGATATTAGGGCTGCACAATTAATCAAAATTGCAATGTGGCCAAGTGCAATATGCAATTGGTAGAAGCTGCAATTTGTTTGTACATTGTGTGTCAAACAGCATTATATTGAAGTACTGTAGTGCTGCAGAGATCCACTGATCTTGTTCTCCAGATTTAAGAGAACATGTTTTGATTTTGGTACTGACCCAAACAAATTTCACATTATCCTGATTTTAAAAGTCAGTGAAAACTGAACACCCAGTTAGCTCAGTGGGTAGAGCTGGCAACCATGTACGGAGTGCTTGCTGCAGCGGCCAAGGGTTCGAGTCTGACCCTTTGCTGCGTGTGATCCTCTCTCTACCTCCCTTTCCTGTCTGTCTTCAGCTGTCACTATCAATTAAAAGGCAATAAATGATGAAAAAAATAAAATAAATAAATACGCGCTGAAAAAATGATCATTCCCACTAATCGTTAATCACATCACAATATCTGTCAAAATAACAGCACCATATCGTGCAGCCCTACCCGCTTTTTTATGAACCTCGGTGGAAGGGTATATGGCTAAATGAGCTAAATTCATCACGAATGCAACAACACACCTACAACATCAACGTAGAAACAAATGCAGCAGGTATGGAAGAAATAATCATGGATGTGATTTTTCCAGGTTAATTCCAGATTTTCCGACCTGTGCAAAGTGAATGGTTTGCAGATCTGCATATCATAAAAGACAGGACTATTGGCCTTGGCGGAGGTCTGCACCAGTTCTGGATGTGTTTAGCCTTAGTCTGTCTGAAGGGGTCTCTGATGATGAAATAACTCAGCAGGGTAAAGAAGCTTGACCTAAAAAGTTCTTTCTTTTTGGCAATAGTCACGTCAAATAGTACAAATGGACAGTTCTGCAGAAGCACAATGACCAACAGCTATGTTAAAAGAAGCTACATATGTCTCATATATCTGTATAGCATTTCTATATTCATCTACATAAAACTCTGAAACAATGTATTCTTTAAACAGTTAAGTCTGTATAGGAGTGTCTTTGGGTAAATTCTGCATATCAATATTCACAAGCTCTATTTTTTCATAGAAATCTATTCAACAGTGTTAAATAAACCCACACATAATGTATCTCATACACCGATATACCACAACCAGCTCTTCTACTGCATCTTAGAGGACTGATAGTGTATGGCAATCGAAGCTGTAAAATAAACTTATTTACTCTTAATTCAGAAGATATTCTTTTATATATATTCTTTATATTATTTTATATAACACAGTGTGACACAGTGAAGAAATCCCATCAAACACTTTTCTGCAGGCAGTGCAGATATTCTGAAAACATCCACTCTGAAATATCAAAACACACAGCTAAAGGTGCTTTCACCCTGAAAAAGGGCATAGGTTTGAACCCAGTTTGGGGAAGGGTTGTGGAAAGGCTTTCTGGGAAATATGTAGAAAAATGTAGAAGTAGACAAGTCGAAGCAAACCAAGAAAATATAATAATAATAATAATGATAATAATGTTATTTGAGATTTGGAAGATTCTGAAGAACTAATCTTCACCGGAAATGTCTTAATAAATATTCTTTTCATAACGGTGAGACTGAAGGTGTGATGTCTCTATTTTAACAGCGACGATAGACAAAGATGTGCTGTCACCTCACAGGAGAACAAGCACAGGTCTAATAGCCCAGATATCTGCTGCTGGTGTGTGGGGGACTAACCAGTACTGAGGCTGACCAGGATCAACATATGAGCTACTATTCTTTTTTTTTTTAACATAAACACATAAAGGGTTGTCATTTTATTATGTCTGCTTAGAGCTCACCTCAGGATTGTGTGTGTGTATGCAAACTGTCCATGACTGACATCTCCCTCACTGTCCTGTTTTGTTGCACTGTTTTTTTTTAAATCCCAGTGTCCACTGAGCACTGAACCCTTTCACACTTAGCCAACATCACCTGGTAAGTGTTTGAGTGTGAGAAGGGCTGCAAAACCTAAAACAGGTAAAACAGGAATGTGAAAGCACTCTGCCACCTATCAGTGACATATTATAAAACACTAAAAGCATTTTATTCATTCTAGCACAGTATTATATTGTCAACATATTTGACCTGTTTTATTATTAGAATTCATCTTTATTGTCTGGGGTTAAACCTTCTGGATTTTTTAATTGCCTGATTTACTGCCTTAGTCCTGTACAGTGTTGGGCAGTAACTCACTACTAATAATAATCTTACAGCAATTATATTACTTTCCCCAGTAACTAGTAATGTAAGTTATTACTCATACATTTTAATAATATTACAGTCACCTGCAAAAAATAATTAGTTAGAATCTTACTTTTGTTATCCAGAAAAGTAAGTGGTAAATGGACCTGTACAGCGCCTTTCTAGTCTTCCGACCACTCAAAGCACTTTTATACTACGCGTCACATTCACCCTTTCACACACATTCACTCAGTGATGGTAAACATCGAACAGAAAGTAATATTCATACACATTCACACACTGATGCACGGCATCAGGAGCAATTTGGGGTTCAGTATCTTTCTCAAGGATACTTCAACATGTGGCACCAGGAGCCGGGGATCGAACCGACAACCTTCCGATTAAGGAACGACCCACTCTGCCTCTGAGCCACAGCCGGTAAATGGACTGTACCTATATAGCAACTTTCTAGTCTTTCCACCACTCAATGCGCTGTACACTACATGCCACACTCAACCCAGTCATGCACATTCATACACTGATGGCAGTGGCTGCCATGTAAGGTGGTCTCATGAGAGCTAACTGTCAAATAATCAGTTTACTAACAGCATCACACACTTATATGTAAACTCCTTTATTCTTGTTACAGGACAACCTTTATGAACTGTGGCTAATTCCCTCAGGCAAAATCTGCAGAAGTAAAGACTTACGTAAAATGTGGATAAAGGGCTCAAAATGTCCGTGGGGGAGCCCTCATGCACTTTGACATTGGGACAGCCCTAAGCCCTCACGGGGCAGTGCAAGGCATTCAAAATTCCACTATGAACAACTTCAAACTAACATGAAAGCTGAACTGACTTCATTTGAACACATCCATGTAGCCTAATCCTGAACTATGTTTTTAGAACTGACTATTCTGATGATCCTTCACTTCACTGCCTCACAGAGAACTACAGTAACTGTGTCACATCAGTGTCACAGTGCATTTTACAAATGTACAATGCACCACCTGTGGTGCTTTTATTATGGTCAATATTTAATTTCGTTACAGATTTAGTAGATGGTAGGATTTTCCAAAATAAATTAAAAACTTAAAAATAGTAACAACCCTAAAAATAAAATTCTTTAAATTTGGTTATTATAGAACAGTAATGTAGATATGTAGTGAGTGGGACATTTTACAATTAAAAATAAACTAAAATAAACAGTGCTCTCGTGTGGGCAAACAATGTTATGGTAAAACTAGTTTTAAGTGGCCCCAAACACATCTTTGGTATACTTGCTGTTACTTATCAAATTTGCACATACCCATTTTTTAAGGTTTTACATGCCTTCTCTTTGTCCACAACCCATCCAAAAAATGTAGAAAAATAAACATCACACAATATTGCTGTAGGGACACATCAGCTGGGTGAGCCGTTTCTGTCTGCACTTACATGATTTAAAGCCTAAATTGTGGATGAAAACATCACGCTGCGTCCTTCAAGGTCGCCGCCACTGTGCGCGGGACTCGGCCAGCCTGGCCTCCGGTGCATTTCTTGCCATGGCTCGGAGAGCTGGGGTTGGACCCTGACGTTCGTACACTCCTCACCCTATGGCTCACCATGGTGGGGAGGAGGGAGGAAGACGGGGAGGGAGGGGAAGAGGAAGATGAGGTGGGAGACAGGGAGGAGGAGGTGGAGGACGAGGAGGGTGAGGATGAGGAGTAGGACGATGAAGAGTAGTAGCTGTGTTGGGAGGTGGAGGCGGTGCTGGAGGTGGAGGCGAGGGCGAGGCAGTGCTGGCGTTTGCTGCTGCAGGGCCCGCAGTAGGCCGGGCTGGCACTAGCGTGGGATGGCGACAAGATGCGGCTAGATGAGGGGAGGAGATGACTTAGATTCAGAGACGGGATAAATGACTTGTGAGGAGGAGGGGACGAAGAAAATGAATTTGAGGACGGGGAGGGGGAGCGAAGTGGGGAGTTTGACGGATAAACTGAGGAGGAAGAGGAGAGGGAACACAAGAAAGCTTGTTGTCTGAAGCGCTGGGCGGAGGAAGGAGAGGTCGAATGGGAAGGAGCTTTGGAGACGATTGAAGCAGACAGAAGAGAGTGTTTCCCAAAGGAGGAGGCAGAAGAAACTGAAGGTGAGGAAGCGGAGGAGGAGGAGGAGGAGGAAGGGGAAGAGGAGAAGTTTTGCAGGCTATCGGTGGTGTCTGAGCAGTGAGGAGTGGACAGAGAGGCAGACGGGTGTTTCCCAGAGCTATGGCACAAGGCTGGTATCTTAGAGGCACGCAAAGCAACGACAGAATGGTTACTATCCCCGGCTGCTCTACTGCTTCTGCTGTCAGCCTGCAAACAGACACCACGGAACACTGCAAGTCAACGCCAACAGCCCACAGCCAACAAGGAGAACACTCAGTCTCATACCTGTTATTTCTATGACTTTGGCCAGCCAGTCCCTTCCTTAGGGCTACAAATGATACAGTCAACTCGTGTTTTAAGCAGCCGGTCACCGTGAAATTAATCTGAACGTCCTTACGAAGGAGATGGTGCTGGAAGCTTGGTGGTCACTGTGTTCTCAATCATTCACCTGACAGTAAGTTAAATGTAATTTATGGAATACAAGAACCGTACACTAGTTCATTCATGTGAAGACCTGTCTAAAGGCAAGACCTTACAGCTGGTCGCTACTGAAAGCCTGCCGTCCTGGAGAGGGCTGAGTCTCACTTATTGACCCTTGCTAAGTCCCGCCCCTTTTTGCTTTGCCATCCAATAACAGTCAACTTTCTCCTTTCTACGAGTACTGACAGGAACTAGAAAAAGAGATCACATCTCTCCTGTACTAGCTACTCTGCATTGGCTCCCTGTAAAATGTAGAATAGAATTTAAAATCCTCCTCCTCACCTATAAAGCTCTTCATGGTCAGGCCCCTTCATATCTTAAAGAGCTCATAGTACCCTATTACCCCTCTAGAACACTACGTTCTCTGAATGCTGGGCTACTTGTGGTTCCTATAGTCTCTAAAAGTAGAACAGGAGCCAGAGCCTTCAGTTACCAAGCTCCTCTCCTGTGGAACCAGCTTCCAGTTGTGGTTCGGGAGGCAGACACCCTCACCACATTCAAGAGTAGGCTTAAGATGTTCCTCTTTGATAAAGCTTATAGTTAGGGCTGGATCAGGTGAGTCCTGAACCATCCCTTAGTTATGCTGCTATAGGCCTAGACTATCGGGGGATTTCCCATGGTGCACTGAGCTCCTCTCTTCCTCTCTCTTTCTGCATTCATGTCCCATTAATGCATGTTACTAACTCCACTTCTTCCCCGGAGTTCTTGTGCTTTCTCGTCTCGCAGGTTCTCATGGATCCTGGTGGAGCCTCCTGCCATGGTCCTGCTTGACTGCCATTACCAATACTGTTGTTGCTGTGCACCTGTCTGTCTGTCTGTCTGTCTCTCGCTCTCTCTCTCTCTCTCTCTCTCTCTCTCTCACCCCAACTGGTCGAGACAGACGACCACCCACCTAGAGCCGAAGGATCTGTCCTAGGTTTCTGCCTTTTAACAGGCAGTTTTTCCTTGCCCTTGTCGCCAAGTGCTTGCTCATGGTGGTACTGTTGGGTCTCTGTAAATAATGTTTTAAAGAGTTCGGTCTAGACCTGCTCTATTTGAAAAGTGTCCTGAGATAACTTCTGTTATGAATTGGCGCTATACAAATAAAATTGAATTGAATTGAATTGAATTGTTCTGTAGATATGCTGTATGCCAGGCCCATCTGTGTTGAAAAGACAACCACATTTTGAACATGGATATAAGATAAAAGTTTATATATATAAGTATATATATACATAGTTGCATCTTAAGCAAGCTAATGTTAGCAAAATGCTAACTAGCTAGCTAATCTACATCAGTGGTTTCCAACCTGTTGGTCAGAGCACCCACTAGGTGCTTAAAAAATATACACAGTAGGCATATATATCTCAGCATTTGGTGATTTTTTTGTAAAGAACAGTAAATTAAACTGTTATTTTTAAAGTTTAGATTATTATTTAAGATCTAAACTTTGGACAGCTGAACACAAGTTACTGTATATTCATAAATATATATTCATAAACAGCCTCTTCCTGCATTAAAAAAACAACCAAAGAGCTAATGGAACAATTACAAGAAAACACTTAATTTGCCAAAAAAGAAGCCTAGACAGTTTCAAATATGCTACCATCTCCACTATTCCAATTGCAAACATCATAAATGAGGTTACTAGGTGTATGATTTGACATTTTTTACCTTTTTGTTTCCATCTTGTGGCACTAAGCGCTTCCATGGCATTAGGTCATAGTTTATTATGAAACATGTTATTGACCTTAAGTGCTTACTGATGTAATGACAAATAGATATGGTAAGGATAGCCCACATTTTCGACTGGGCAGGGTTTCTATATTTTTGGTTATTAGCAGCTTTTGAATATCTTAATCATACTTGCTTTCCTCTTTGCACCTCTCCTTTTCTGGCTGAATGTTAAATATTTACTAAACTGGCCAAAGACATAGTAGTAACATACATGACTGACAAAATCCAGTGCTATTCCTCTTAAATTATTAAGGATCAGTTTAGAAAAGTAAAGTTGAGGTGCAAACAAACTGTGCATGACCAGGAATATTGAAAAGACATAAAATACTTTTCTCTTCTTTCAGAATAACTTGGAATTGTTTTGCATTCATTCCAACATAAAGAACTGACATTGTAATTAAACAAATTTAACTAAACAGTGGTGCCATCAACCACAACATACATGCAGTACTTACAGGATGGCATACTATTACATAACATAAATGTGAGGGTAATCAGTGACGGATGTTTCAATTGGATGATTAATAGTTGTAAATGATGGCTTCCACGTGTCCTTGTTTGAGGACGTTTTTGAGAGTTTTTGACACCCAAATCATATTTCCACAACTCACTGCCAGATGAAGAACGGTTGTACACAGTCAACATGCAGGTTTCTTGCAGGTCACATGCAGGTCAAGAGAAAATCTCTGATCAACAGCTAATTTTGGATATGGGGGCATTAATGGATAAAATAACAAAAACAGGGAGTGTATGCTGAAAGAAGTGTGCCACGGTGAAGAGGAATGTGAACACAGCCATAAACAGACAAATATAACTTGAGGAAGAGACAGGACAGAAAGGCACCACCACAGAAATGACTTCAACACATTTAAGACTCACTACAAACACAGTAAAACATTATTCACTCTTTTTCCCACTCTATTGACATTGCATGTAACACTTTTGTTCTATTATTGCTATTGTTCTTCTAGCCACTTACTTAATGAACTTTTAAAAAAAGTATATTTTTCTGAATTCATTACAACATTTAGATACAGTAGACTGGTTCTCTAGTTTAAGAAAATAAGAAATAAAGCTTAACCCTGACCAAAGCTACTGCTTGCTTCTGGTATGTTTCAGTAACAAAGAGGGTAAACCCATGTTAAGTCAATACAATTATCTTTGATTGTACAGTGAGAATCTACCCAGATATAAATATTTATATAACTTAAGTTTTCTTAAGGTAGAAAAAGTATTAATTATTGCTCTCCAGGGAGCAGCTTTGTTTAATTGGTAATTTACATAATGATGATGATGATGATTGGAGAATAAAGTTTACCTTCTGTTAGTCACCACTAATGCCAAGTTCACAATACAAGATTTTAGCCATGATTTCCCACTGGTAGACATTCTTTGGAGATCACTGACAAATGCCCCTAGATCAGAGGCAAAACAGTGCTTACTCCCATGAGGAGGATCACTATGTGTGAACTGTTCAAAGAGGCAATCCTCGTGCTGGCTGATGACTTGTGTGCGCCCAAAAAATAGAGCTACAACTAATGAGAGCAGACACGGGTGTCTTCGGCATTAAACAAGAAGCAGCAAACCAGGTAGTTACTGGTAACAGCTGAAAAAACTTCAGTCCTTCTCTCATTTCCACAGTGTTCTCCCACTGAAAGAGTGCAGCTACAATGGAAGCTGAAAATTAAAGTTTGTACAGAATACTCTTTATCTTTATGGATAATATTGGTGCTGAATTGAAAAGAAAACTGTTGACATTTTACAGCCTTTAGCTCATGTTTCCAGTTACATGTTGTCATAGACATTAGCAATTATTTCATAATTTAGCATTACATCAAATTTCATAAAGCGAGTTTGGTGCAGGGAGCTTTTAGTTTTGAAAGTCATGTAGTGTGACCAAGGCATAAGTTGTTGAATGTAGTGATATTTGACAACGAAAGTTTAAAGGTTGTTTAACCTGCTGTCTGAATAACAAATCCAGTTACCATTTGGTGGAGCAATACAGTGATTTGCCTTCAGTCTATGTCATAGCTGCTAACCTCAGGTTAATTTACCTGGCTGGGCTGCATCTGGATGGCCTGCTGATGGCCCTTAGGTGTCTTCTCTGGTGAGCAAGAGGAGGGTGAGTGGTGAGACTTGGTGTGGGATCGCTGAACAGAAGAGCTGGAGCTGCTGCTAGAGGTCTAACATAGAGATGCATAAACAAAAGCTTAGTGAGTACAGATTGGCTGGTACTATGCTATCATTGAAGAACACATAGAGGATACTGTGTAGTATGGTAGCAGCACCAACATTGAAAGGCACTCAAAAGCATCAGATTGAAGCAGCAAAGTAAGATAGAAAGAAAGAATACAATGTTAATCATTAATAGAAGCCATTATCGAAGGCGTGATTGGATGTGAAGTCATGAATTTGCGCCATGAACTGAGGAAAAGATTTGCTTGCATGAAATGAAAATGTTGTAATGCTGAGCAGATACAAAGATCTTTCGTTTTGTTTTCATTCTGGCGACTCTTGTGGACAAAAGTGGTAGTGTTCCTACCGCCTTGTTTCACTGACTTCAAGAGGCCGACCAAATCGTTTGTTTATGTAGGTCATACTCAAAAACTCAAAATTGGTGGAAACGTGGACTGGTTCGCTGCATAGCACCAAGAATAATGATTGGGACCAGTTCAAGAACCACAGCTAATTTGGTGGAAAAACACTAATATTAGTCATTGGTACATATCAGTATTAAATTGAGATGGCTCCGCGCTGCTCTCAAATGTCAAAGAACGTTACTGTACTGTAACAGCGCAAAAATGGATGCTAAGAGCTTCATTAGATTCACTCAGCCCTACATGTTTAAGCCACCAGAGCCAGAATCTGAGTCAGAGGACACTGACCTGGCCATGGATCAACCAGCCTTCTACAGAATGGTAATGTTTTTACTCCTGTTTATGCTAGTGAGCAATATGTATTACTGACAAACATAACCTAGCCAAACAGTCAGGCTATCAATAAATAACACACACAAATATATTTGGAAGTTTAAAATTGTATTTATCTGTATAGTCACAGCTCAGCCTAGCAGCCATCCGATGCACTCCACCATGTAAACATGTATTTTTATGACACATTAATTCATCTATTTATATTTCTGTTTTGTGAGTAACATAAAGGGACTACAGCTAGCTTTGTGTCATACAACTAGTGTGGGAAATTAGCACTATAGACAAATGCTGGTGAAATATTATACTGGCTGGTATCAGAATATTAATCAGAATTGTATCATTTTGTTGCATATTTTCAAATATAAATACAACCTCTGCAATTATCAATATTAATGTGACCACACTAGACTCCACATACCTACAGATCTGTGATCATTGCAACAATAAGCTGTAAATTGTTCAGCTAACTTTACTGTACATATATGACAAATAGAAAACTTAAATTGTTGACAGTATCTGTAGTCCAACTGACATAACCTGTACTTTTACAGGTGCACCTGTGGAGAATGCAGGATGATGCAAATGTCTGCTGCAAGGAGCTCAATGCTGTATGTAAAGAAAAACAAATGTATCTTCCACAATGACCATTACGAGTACAAAATCTCTAGCACTAAAACACCTTCCAACACATTCCAACAGGTTCAGAATAGATGTGAAGCGCTTCCTAAAGAGGCACAGTGCATTACTCTTCGTCCAGGCCTTGAGCCAGTCTGCCTGAACCCCTACTCCCTGCAGAATGCCCTGAACATTTACCAGGCAGACCATGGGCCACTGGAGTTGAAGGAAAGAGCTGTGTAAGTTAGACAATACATTTATTGATTTGGAATATGTAGAAATTACATTTCTGTTGATCAAATCGTCTGTCTTTCAAAACATGGTATTTAATATTTAGACAAACACAGTATAATGATGTTAGACTAATAATAAACAATCTCTGTACTAATAATAAGCAGCTTGCCTTCATGTGGTGCTTTCAACAGTTATTTTATGACACATATAATGTGTTTATAGAGAAATCAATCCAAGGCGCCAATTCATTAACTTGTAAAGACAACAGGAAAGAGAGAGGGATCTGGAGAAAAATAACAGAAAGTTACTAGTAACAGTCAGGGTCTGTGGTATAATTCAAACAGGGCACAGACACACTCCACACACACTACATTGCTAACTGGCCCGAGCTAATGTTTGTACAGTTGGTCTATTGTGGCAAATAAACACATAACTGCTCAGTCCAGTGGTCAAATTGTGCAGATAACACAAGTCAAAACTTGCTTTTGGTTCAGTCTGAACAAACATTTAGATTATTTGGAAATTCTTTGCAGAGAATTTCAATATATTTAAATCTTCAGGTTACACTGATAAAAGGCCAGTAAAAGTCAGTTTGTTGTTCCTGGTAAGAATGACTACTTACTCCTGGACTTAGAGGGATCCCTGGCTATGAAAGATTCATAGAACCCAATATGTATTTCGAGCTAGTCAGAGTAGAGAGCCCATCACCAGCCCACCACCACTGAAGCAAGCGAGCTCCACAGGCAGAGGAAGATCAGACCTGTTTCTTGGTGGAGGTTTTCCCTTTGTCATGTGGAGGCTGTGGTTTGGCCCTCTTACTCTGAGGTGGATTTGGGCCTTTGAGGATCTGAGTGGCTGGTCGCTTTGACAGGCTTCTCTCCCGTTCTTGTTTGACTTTGACCTTGTGCTGAGCTCTGTCAGTGGAGTCAAAGGAAGAATCAGGGGACTGAGGAGGTGAAGACACAATCGAGGAGGGTGAAGAAGGGGCAGTTATACTGTCCACACTGATTTCTAACTGTTTAATTGACTCTTCTAGATTGTCAATAGAGTCAAATGCACTCTTGCAGAGTTCCTCTACCCGGCTATGTGAGTGTCTAGTATCAATAGGAGAGGAGACTTTGATGTCCCTGTCACAGGCATTGCCTTCTCCCGAGTTCATTTGTTTGGTACTGCTGATCTCAAACTTCTTTGTCTGCTTCTTGGTCTCCTTCAGTGGCCTGCTATCTGGTGCTTTCTCCTCCTCTTCCTCATAGACAACAACCTCAAGAGTGTTCTTGCCTGTTTTGGTCGTCCCTGTTCGAATGGCCTGGCTAATTGCAGCCAGTTTGTTTTTGGGGAACTTAAATTTGAATTTCCTTTTGGTTTCTGCCTTTCTAGGGGAGTCTGGTTTATCCTGGTCTTCTTTTTTTTTAGGAATTGAGCCATTATCTTCTGATGGTTTTTGATGTTGCAAATGTGGAGAACTCAGACCATTTCCTGTGATGTCCGAATTTATACAAATGTTTCTTACGTCCTGTTTCTGTTCTTGCTTTGTCTGCTCTTCATCCACAATATTTTCTGGAGAGAGAAGCCCATCAAGATCTTCCTCACATTCAAAGATGGTGGAAAGACGCTTGTAGGCTGACTGAATATCAAGCTCATTCAAGATAACAAGAATAGGTCTCATGTCAGAGTCATTGCTATCCTCAAAACCTTGATTTTCATATTCCCAATAAGTGGGTTCACCAGTGCTGTCCCCAGTCACATTCTGTATGTCAGAGCCAATGATTTTGGTTAGGTCTTCCTCTTGAGAGTGTGTCCTGACTCTGGTCTTCGAGATTCTAAGGCTTATTTTAGGTGGTGAAGGAGGAGGTCCCTCATCATCCCAAATCTCTGGGTTCAGGCTACCTCCCTCTTCTGCATATCGAGATCGGTCCCTGGATACTTGCACTGTTGACTCCTGGTTCTGCTGCTTACTGCGGTGACTGTAAGTCAAGATGGGCGAAATAGGGGGAAGTTGTTGAAGTTGAAAAGAAGCTACACATTCCTGATCTGAGCACAGGTACTTATCCTGCTGGAACTTTGGTGACAACTCTATCAAGCAATCCTCTGGGGTGTTTTCTTTTTGTAAAGTTAAAACCACCATTACATCTGACTTCTTCTCAGCTGGTACTTCTTTGATACTTTCATTTGTCTGGACAGGACTTGCTGGCATGTTTTCCTTTTGTAGAGTAACAATTGTTGTAAACTTGACCTTCTTTTCTGCTGAAGTTGGAGAGCACACATGTCCAACAACCTCCTTGTTAATCTGCTCATGAGTGTTCACAGTAATATCATTTTCTTTCTGTGAAGTTGTAACTGTAAGTACTTCCGTCTTCTCTGCTTTTTTTTGGGTTGGTGTTGGCACCTCCTCATTCTTCTGAATATCTTGTAAAGCTTCAGGTGGGTGGACCTTCTCTATTGTTGCACTGTTTAGGGAAGGTACATGTTTAACCACATTCTCTATCTTATCAAGACTTACACTGCCTTTCCCTGCTTCACTGTGTTCTTCCAGTCCAGCTGCTATTATTAGTTTACGTGGGCAGCCATCGATGATTCGTGGCTGAGGAGCTGACTGGTAGGCAGATGTTGCTAACTCAGAAGGGTTCTGATTGGCCACCTGTGATTTTGGAGATGTCTTCAACTTTCTTTTCCACTGCTTATTTCCACCTGGCAAATTAGTCTTATTTGACAGTTGTGTAGTCACCTACAATTAGAAAAGGCAAGATTAAACACTTAATCAAATGGAAATTAAGTAAAATATTAAATACATATTATGTGTATTATGTAATGTTTTATATCCAATTATTACTTTAAACTAAACTGAAAACCTTAAAACAGTATGTGCTTGATATACTTCATGTCAATATGAAGATATTCCAACTGTCCAAACCTTATTAAATGTATGGTATGCACAAATCAAAATAGAGACTTGTATCAAACCTTCATGTGTGTCTTACTGGGCAATCTCAAAGAGGCACATGCCCATACTTGAAACATTTGCAGCCCCCTTAGGTACCTGCACATTGCTGGCTTGTCCCTAATACTTTAACTAGACTAAGTATACTTAAATAGCTTTATTTTATTTTTTTGTTCTTGATTAGTCCAAAAAAGCACACTGAAAGGTACACTGAAATACAATCCAGGCAGTCCTGTTTGATTTACAGATCAGTGAAGCTGACAACTTAACAGATGCCAACAATGCAGAACAATTTGTAATGCTCAGAGACAGGATTATCACAAAGGGAACTACCAGGATACCAGCTCTTGAGAAAAAGGAGTATCTGTAGCAGTCAATTCAATAAATAATACAATAGATTAATTCAATTCAAGTCAGTTTTATTTGTATAGCACCAATTCATAACAGAAGTTATCTCAGGACACTTTGAGCCATGAGCAAGCACTTGACAAGGAAAAACATCCTTTTAAGAGGCAGAAACCTCGAACAGACCCCGGCTCTAGGTGGGTGGCCATCTGCCTCGACCAGTTGGGGAGAGAGAGAGAGAGAGAGAGAGAGACACACACAGAGAACAGAGGTAACGACAGAAGGACAGAGACAAAGGTGCACAGCAACAACAGTAGCAACAACTACAGTCACAGGACTGTGATAAGCCCAACCAATCATTTCAATTGCACTGAAAGGAATGATAGACTAGCTGACCATTATGACCACCTGGGCACCCTGGTGGTCATAATGTTATGCAGCCCCATATGCAACCTGCGATGCACTGTGTGTTCTGACACCTTTCTATCAGAACCAGCATTAACTGTTTCAGCAGTTTGAGCTACAGTAGCTCGTCTGTTGGATTGGACCACACGGGCCAGCCTTCCCTCCCCACGTGCATCAGTGAGCCTTGTCCGCCCATGACCCTGTCTCTGGTTCATCGGTTTACCTTCCTTGGAGCACTTTTGATAGTTACTGACCACTGCAGACTGGGAACACCCAACAAGAGCTGCAGGTTTGGAGATGCTCTGACCCAGTCATTTCGCCATCCTATGGTCCTTGTCAATGTCGCTCCAATCCTTACACTGCCCATTTTGTGGTTCAGAGGTAGAACAGGTTGTCCACTAATCGGAAGGTTGTTGGTTCGATCCCCGGCTCCTCCCTGCCACGTGTCGAAGTATCCTTGAGCAAGATACTGAACCCCAAATTGCTCCCAATGCTGTGTCATCGGTGTGTGAATGTGCATGAATGTGTTAGTTTCTGTACGATGGGCTTTGCTATCACTGTCTGAATGTGTGTGAAAGGGTGAATGTGGCACGTAGTGTAAAAGCATTTTGAGTGGTCGGAAGACTAGGGAGACCCTAGGGATGAGCGAGTATACCATTATCTGTATCTGATCAACCAACTAAATCATCTGTATTCATATCCGTATTTGGAATGGGCGGGGCTCAGACAGATGTGGGTGATGCTCAAACAAGAAGTGGGTATGACTAACTGGAAGTTGTTAACAACAACAAGATGGAAGAGCTAACGGAGCTAACCCGGCTGCAGAGGGAGTACCAGGAATGCAGCCTCATGTGCTACACAGAGACGTGGCTGAGTGAACTTTGTTCTGACTCACACGTCACCCTGGACGGATTTCAAGTTGTATGGGCGGACAGGAAAGCAACGGAGAGCGGTAAGAAAAAGGGAGGAGGAAACGCTGTGTTTGTGAATGAAAGATGGTGCCACCCAGCACACATCAGTGTTAAGGAGCAACTCTGCACCAGAGACTTGGAGCTGTTAGCGGTTAGCATGTGGCCGTACTACCTTCCGAGGGAGTTTTCACATGTTATTGCAGTAACTGTGTACATCCCTCCCTCGGCCGTCGCTGCTGCAGCTACAGATCAGATCCACACTGTCGTCTCCCAGCTTCAAAACCAGAACCCCCAATCCCTCCTCATCTCCGGTGACTTCAACCATGCTTCCCTGTCCTCTGCTCTCCCCACCTTCACCCAGTACTTGAAATGCCACACCAGGGACAATAAAACTTTGGACTTGTTGTATGCAAACATCAAGGATGCATACACCTCATCCCCCCTCCCCCCGCTTGGTCGCTCAGATCACAACCTTGTCCATCTGATCACAGACTACACCCCTGTGGTGAATAAACAACCACCTGAGAAGAGGCCCGTGAAAGAGTGGTCTGAGGAGACCAGTGCTAGGCTCAGAGACTGCTTTGAGACAACAGATTGGGCAGCCCCCACGGCATTGACATTGACAGTATGACCCACTGCATTACGGACTATATTAACTTCTGTATGTAGAACACTGTGCCCTCCAAGTTGCTAAGGTGTTTTCCTCCTGTCACATGTTGAAGTATCCTTGAGCAAGATACTGAACCCCAAATTGTTCCCGATGCTGTGCATGTGAATGTGTATGAATGAGTTAGTTTCTGTTCGATGGGCTTTGTCATCACTGTGTGAATGTGTATGAAAGGGTGAATGTGGCACGTAGTGTAAAAGCGCTTTGAGTGGTCGGAGGACTAGAAAGGCACTATACAAGTACAGGTCCATTTACCATTACCATTTACTGCTGCCAAAGGAGGTTCAGCCAGATATTATACAATGATTCATTTACTTTTTCCACCTGAACTGTTAATGTTTGTTGGGTGTGATATAAATAATTGTTTCTGTTTTATCAACTGTTTATACCTATGAATCAGATCAGGTAATGACCAAATAAAGCAGAAAACTTGGTCATTGTAAAGACCTCAATGATGTTAATCCAGAATTTCTAGCTGTTGTGAGTTATAAGCAGGAAACTATTCACCGCAAACCACAAAACAAGCACAAAGACAGATTTTTAACTCATTGTAGATAACAACATCATCATCATTTTCTGACAGAGTAAGTCATAAAACCATCCTGTACATAGTTGTACTTTGCCTGTTACTTTGTCTGTTTGGATACTGAGTCATTAATTATTAGTGCTGTTAGTTTTTTTTTTTTCTTTTTACCTTAGGTTCCCTCTCTCTGCTCTGGAGCTCAGAGTCTGAGGGTTTAACCACGCTCCCTAAATCCCTCATTGTGCATTTCTGAAACACCTGGGTGGGAAAGGGAGAGGGTCCATGGTGAGGGTAAAGATCCCAGAGACGGATTGGGTCAGAGGAACAGGTATGCAATGAATACAGATCCTATAGACAGCTCAGTCCTGTCATATCTGGGTCCGGGTAGCTTTCTTGGTAGAGTATTTGATCTGCTTAAGTTTTAAGAAGCAGCAAATTACTGAACATACCTGGAGCTCTTTCATGAATTTGTTGTCCTCCTCCTCTTCCTCCTCCTCTTCCTCCTCCTCGTCCCTGTGTGCTCTGGCTGTCGCAGGGGTTGGGCTGGAACCGGCCAGAAACATCTGGGGTTTGGGTTTGACCTCTGGGGGCTGTCTTGGGGGTTTGGGTTGAGGAACCACCACTTTCTCTTTCTCATCATCATTCTTAAGTACAAACGGGGGAATAAAAAGCGGGAAATGTATTTGAGCTACGTTTTTTTCTTTGTCATTTTTAAGAAGGGGCAAAGCCTTTAGTTTCATCATTTTGTGAGGTCTACAATAAGAAGAACTTTATCAATGTCCCTGGAGGCTTCAAAGTCACTTCAACTTAATTCAAGTTGACCAGATGAGTAATTTGGACAACTTTAAGGAGTCAATGTTAATTAGCCACACTGCAGAGGGGCACCAAATTATCGTTTCAAATTTGTTTTTAAAGGTTTTATTTTTCAAAAATGGAAATATGAAATTATTAACATAAATTAATCAAATAATGAGCAAAGATGAATTCCATACATTTAAAGTTAAAACATGAATCTGTCAATACTTAATTATTTTAATAGCTTATTATTGTATGCACGATAACAGGACATCACTGCTCTGTGCCTTATCAGGTAAGAGGTCCATGGCCTGAAAAACTTCGAAGACCCCTAATTTAGGAGGATCTATGGTCAGAAATTAAGTATGTTTTCATTAGTGTATAATCACCTGAAAGATGGGCCTTTTGTTTTTTTTGTGAGTTTCACAGCCAATGTAGTTTCTCCTACAGGCTTGGAAAGCTGAGCTGTATTCAAATTGGTGCAATTTGCAACTTCACCACTAGATGCAAAAGAGAAATTCTCTTCCATATATTATTATCTATTGTATTAAAGCCTCTCTAACAATGAGCACCATGTTGAGGTATTATTTGAAAAAAGGTGTCTCAAAATTTGTGAAGAACAAATTTTTTAAGAATCAGTTTATTTCACTTCAGTCTTTTTCAGACAACTTAGGACTTGGGACACTGCTGGCTACCCCCGAAAAGTTGATTATATTACATACCTGGGCTCCAACTGGCTCTTTCCTGGAGGTTGAAATCACCTCTCCTGACCTTCCTGTGGTAAGACCTGAGCTGACAGCATGGAACCTGGGAAGAAAATATTTAAAAAAAATAATGAAAATGCATTAGAGGTTTTAGCCGTTAGAAAGGAGCCGGTCTGCAGGTGGTGATTAACTGACCTGCGTGGAGGAGGAGGGGGAGGAGACTTGCCGGACCTGTCTGGACTCTGCTTCATCTCCTTGTCCACACTGGAGCGACGGGGTTTCTCCACCTGTGGCCGGCTGCTGCGCTCCGTGCTTGGAGAAGCTGATGGAGGAGGTGAGGGAACAGCTGGTGGAGGAGGTGAGGGAGCAGCTGAAGGAGGAGGCTCTCCTGTGGCTGCAGGAAGCTGCAAGGGTGCTGCTGGAGCTAAACATAATCAAACATCAGAGTCCTGTCATACTACTACTAAGAGTAAGAAAACACAAATCTAGATATCTGTTAAAAAGCCTGATCCATTTCACACATATTGTGGTCTTGGTGGATTTCTCTTTAACATATGGTTTTGTTCCCTGTCACACTGGTTCAAATCTGTTTCTGACATAGTGTTGGAAGTGACTGAACCACTGTAAACAAATAAACTGCAGCCAACAACTGTGTCCACAATGTCAGTGTGTGTCAGAGCAGAGTCGCTTTGCTGTTTCTCAGCTGTATCATGGCTCTGAAGTGCTGCTGTTGGCTGAAAACTCCATTTCAGATATTTGGTCATGTGAATATTTACACACCTCCTGGGGGTGACACTCAACAATAAACTGGACTGGACGGATCACACTTTGGCCCTCTACAGGAAAGGACAGAGCAGGCTGTTCTTTCTGAGGAGGCTCAGGTCATTCAATGTGTGCACTCGGCTACTACAGATGTTCTACCAGTCTGTAGTAGTAGTAGTAGTAGTAGTAGTAGTAGTAGTAGTACCAGTGTCCTCTTCTTTGCGGTGGTCTGTTGGGGGGGAGGCATCGGCACTGGGGGTGCAAACAAGCTTAGCAAGCTGGTGATAAAGCCATCATGAACAACCCCTCTCATCCTCTCTACACTGAGCTCAGGCAGCTCAGGAGCACGTTCAGCTACAGACTGACCCAGCCCCGAGCCTCAAAGCGGTTTGGAAGCTTGTTTGTACCATCAGCCATCAGACTCCACAACGCCACAGCGCCCAGTACCTCCAACCCCCGCAGACTAAGACTGGTTTAAACTCTAACCTACGCCACACTTTTTTCACTAACTATTTATATTTAAGTCTGCACATTTTAGATTTTTAGTCAAAGCTGCTCAAATATTTGCATATTGCATATAGTGTAAATAATAATAATAAAACAGCTATATATACAGTTGTGTTTTATTTTCTTTGTTTGATCTGGTATCATACCTGTGTCTGCCAGTTTTAACTGGGTGAAGTCCATTTCATCTCTCAGACTGTCAGGTGTGTCTTCCTGGGTATTAGACAGAGGTATCTGCTGCTCCACTGAGACTGCAGCACAAACACATCACAGACCCATGCTTAGATCATTTCTACGAAATGACTAACTATTTGAGTTTATTTATGATATTAAAACTATGTCAATCACTTTTAAAGATAAAAAAATCTCATATAATTAATAAGAAGAACATTCTTCCAATGTGTTTTTAATAAAAGGGATTCTACAGGTCAACCTTGCAGTGTCAAGTCCAGAGGTGTGTCCTGCTCTGACTTTGATGCAGTGAAAGGTATCTGTCCTGAGGATGAATCAGAAGGACACTCTCTGGTCTCTGACACATTCAGATCAGGGATTGACTTCATCAGGCTGTCCTGGGCCTCCTGGAGGGCCTGGTCAAAGTCAGTGTTAGAGTTGGAAAGTAGAGGCTGAATGGAGTCTGGCAGGTTGGCTTGGCTGGTGCTGGAGTAGGTCATACAGCTGGGTTCTACACTCAGACTGCCTTCTGGGATCTGTCTTTCTGTAGTCTGTGAAGGACACAGAGAGTCACACAGATTGATGATTGGCAGGGTTTGTTTAAAATTATGAAAAAACCTGAAAATGTAGGAGACATCTCATCAGTAGATGAGTAAATACTCCCTTACATACCTCCAATAACAACAAACTGTTTTAGTGGAGAAAAATAAGAAAGAATAATGAGGACAATCAATAGGGCGCAGCTGGCAAGACTGACCTGAGTAATGGTCTGTGTGTCTTTCATGGTTGTCTGGTCAGTATGGCTCTCCTGTGTTGATGTTTGTGCAGGTTGGTCAGTTGTGCCTGCTGAACTGCCGAGTCTTTCAGACTGCAGAGGGCCTGGTCTCTTCTGCAGAGCAGGGCTGCCCTCTCTGCTGCAAGGGCTCACCTTAACACAGCAACACAACACAACATTTACAATCACAAATGCAACAGGCTGAAGAATTATTTTATACACCAGTCTATTCTGTTGTTAAACCAAAATCAGTGTGCTGCTAAGTGAATCCAGAGGATATAATGTGATATATCGGCATCATGTTTGATGTGTTCTGTTTTTACGTGTGTCATATGTATAATTCAATGTTCAATCAATGTGCAAATTTATTGAATGGTGCTACCCAGGGATACACAATTAATTTCAGTGTAAACTAACAATGCAGGTGTATAGTATCGTATTATATCGTAACAAATCACATCGCATCGAATTGTATCATATAGCATTCTACACTACGGACAGTTCACAAAAACACCTGTTAATATAAACAGGCTCACATTTTGTCATTTTACGTCATTCAGCCAATCATTGGTGCAGTACCTTGGCCACAGAGGGTGAGTCACGCCCATGGGTGGGTGTCAGAGGGGGGCTGGGGTGGCAGTGGGAGGGCTGGATCACTGTGGCTGCTGTACTCTTCATTCTGCGAGACATGATGGGGGAGGCTGAGCCCGCCAGGCTGACCTCAGTCTGATTCTCAGAGAGAGAAGGGGTGGGCAGAGTAGGCCTGACTGAGGATCGAGGTTGGGGTTTTGGCGAGCTCAGGGGGCTCTGGGTCTTCACAGGTCCCTGGTCTCTTTCCAGGACCTTTAGAGGCTCCACCTGGGCCGATCTGGCTGGGGGGGTTGACTCTGACACACACCTGTTGATAACAAGATGGCCATACACACATCAGGATTATTTTCCTCCAGAACATTACTGTTTTACTTTTGAGTTAAGTTGCTGAGTACCTGCGGAGAGAACTGAGGGCTTCAGTCAAGGTTTTGACCCTCTTTAACATTGAGTCCATCTTATGAGGCTCCTCCTTCAGGAAACGCACCGCCTCCACCTCCAACCTCAGCACTGAGCGCATCTTCACCTGCAGCTCTGGAAACTCACCTGGAAGACAACCAAACAGTAGACATACGATGAAATGTAAAACTATCACTACTCTTTAATGACTTTACTGTGTAAACCTTTTAATTCTACATATCATAATATATATTTATTTAAAAATAAATCCAAGGGCAACCTTCCAATCCAATCCTGCAACCCTGAACAGATAAAGCATTTTAGAAAATAACTGGATGCAAATTATGTCCAGATCAAGGTTCTGATGAGGCTCTAAAGGGCTTGACATTAACCCTTGCCCAGGGCAAGTAAACTGAGGTCATCTAAGTCATGCATGCGCCTTCATACCACGATTGATATCACAATTTATTAAGATGCTACAACTGATTCAGAATGCTGTGGCACGAGTACTGACTAGGCAAAGCGAATTGCATTCTCTGAATGCAGGGCTACTTGCTCCAAAAGTTATGAAACGCAGCACAAAATTTGGTGGTGATGAAGAGTTATGCGTCCTGTAGAATGGCCCCAACTCAACAGCAAGTTGGCCATTTTAGATTTAGTGTGCAATTGTGGCACCATTTTTGCCGTGGTACTTTTACAAACTCATCCTAGGAAACTGATTGGATCAACTAGGACTGCCTTCTTTCACTTACGTAATATTACAAAAATTAGACACATCCTATCAAAGACAGATGCAGAAAAACTAATCCATGCATTTGTTACTTCAATACTGGATTACTGCAACTCTTTATTATCAGTTTGCCCCAATAAGTCCATTAAAACGCTCCAATTAATTCAGAACACTGCAGCACGAGTACTGACAGGAACTAGAAAAAGAGATCACATCTCTCCTGTACTAGCTTCTCTGCACTGGCTCCCTGTATAATGTAGAATATTATTTAAAATCCTCCTCCTCACCTATAAAGCTCTTCATGGTCAGGCCCCTTCATATCTTAAAGAGCTCATAGTACCCTATTACCCCACTAGAACATTGCGTTCTCTCAATGCTGGGCTACTTGTGGTTCCTATAGTCTCTAAAAGTAGAACAGGAGCCAGAGCCTTCAGTTACCAAGCTCCTCTCCTGTGGAACCAGCTTCCAGTTGTGGTTCGGGAGGCAGACACCCTCTCCACATTCAAGAGTAGGCTTAAGACGTTCCTCATTGATAAAGCTTATAGTTAGGGCTGGATCAGGTGAGTCCTGACTATTATTTATATTAGAGACCGAGCCAGGGTCCCCTGGGAGGTCCCTATTTTTCACCTCTTCGACTGCATTTTTGCCCCACTGAACATATGAAAAGTCAATTTTATTTGGCAAAGTGGTCAGGCCTGGTGAAAAATTTGATATTCTGTGGGTCTCGGACATAAAAATGGTTCGACAGCGCCCCCTATTGAGCATCCCCAACGGCACATTTCACCTATGAGTATGAAAAGTGGTACACATGTAAATCTTATCCAGACGAACAAAAGATCCAGTGGGCGCCATACCCCGAACCCAACAGGAAGTCGTCCATTTTGGATTTAGCTGCCATTTTCTGCGATTTACACACGTTGTATTTGAACGAACTCCCCCTAGGGAATTGATCAGATCGATTTCAGATTTGGACACAGCCATCTAAAGACATTGACGATTAAAAGTTGTGCCATTTACGACATTCTGCCAAACGACGTGCCTGTGGTGTGGAATTTCAACGACTCGCCATGAAAGAGGGATTTGTCATAACTTCTGCGTACATGATCCGATCTCAATGAAACTTCACATGTTTCATGAGAGTCCCGCCCTGAACACGTCCTTGTGATAATATTCAGTAATAGCGAGAGCGCCACCTAGTGGTGAAAGGAAATGTCATTTTTATACTTTTATGTATACCTCCCAGCAGATTGACCAGATCCAGCTGAAATTCTGTCAAGAGTTCCTTAGGACAATGACGATGACATTTTATGAATCTTAAGAATTTGCGTGGACCCATGTTACCATGGCGACGTGGCGAAAATCTGCTTTTCTTTTAACATTTGAACACTTTTTGGGGGGCTAAAAATGCCCAAAAACTCATGAAACTTTGCACAACATTCAGTCGTGGTGAAGGCTAAGGTGTTGTCTTAGTCCCGTAGGTGGGCGTTGAATAATGGCTTAGCCACGCTCCCCAGAATCAGCCCCCAAGACACGTAAGACCGACATGTATGAAAATTGGTACGCATGTGAATCATGATGGGACAAGCAAAAAAGCCTCTTGGACCCATAACCCAAACCCAACAGGAAGTTGGCCATTTTGAATTTCGTGGTCATTTTTGGTGATTTTGTGCATTGTACTTGAACAAACTCCTCACAGGGAATTTATAGGACCATCATCAAAACTGGTCAGTACAGTTAAAAAATAATGCTGATTAAAACTTTTGCTATTTTTGCATGTACATTAAAGGGCATGTCCGTGGCGTGGCATCGAAGTTAATGAACTCCTCCTAGGGAATATAATGGATCAATTTCAAAATTGGACGATTCGCCATAAAACAGATGTTTTTAGATCAGTGTACAATGTCCAATCTCCACTAAACTTCACATATTCTTTAACAGTCTCACCCTGAACACATTTTCATAACTTTAGCATACATGGTCCAATCTCAATGAAACTTGCACTTTTGATAAAAGTCCCGCCCTGAACATGTCTACGTGACCATATTCAAATATAGTGACAGCGCCACCTACTGGCAACAGGAAGTAAGCGCTGCATGGCAACTTTGATCTGATTTACGTGAAATTTTCATGTTTTGGTCCACACGTGTTACGACGGCATGTGATGCGGCCGCAGCACACCTCGACAGCACATGACGCGGCCACAGCACACCCCGATACGCGCCGAGTGCGAAGGCCCGTTCAACGCTACTTGCAGCTTTAATTATTATTATTATTCATCCCCCATCGTTGTGGCTATTATTGTCATTGTCGTCATCATCTTCATTATTGTCATTATCGTCATTTCTACTAGTATAGTTGCTGTGCACCTTTGTCTCTGTCTCTGTCCTTCTCTCTTTACTACCCATAAACCCTTTACCCCCCTAACCCCCTCTCTATCTAACACCACCTAGAGCCGGGGTCTGCCCGAGGTTTCTGTCTCTTAAAAGGACGTTTTTCCTTGCTGCCATCGCCACGGTCTTGCTCATGGTGGGAACTGTTGGGTCTCTCTAAATAATTAAGTACAGTCTAGACCTGCTCTTTTTGAAAAGTGTCTTGAGATAACTTTTTAAGAATTTACTGTACAAATAAAATTGAATTGGAACTGTATTTAATTTTTCATATCACCAATTGGAATCTTCACATATTTGTATCGCAATTTAACTGTTTTGCTCCTGTCTCATTCCTGGTGGGTGTTTAAGGCCAGCTCTCATACTTGAGAATATTGAAGTATTGATTTGCATGAAACATTCTAAATTAATGCTGAACAAAAGGTATTATTACTGTCAAAATCTTATTGCTTTTACAGTATATTATGGTAGACAGTCCAGAAGTCCAGTCAAATGTGAACAGTAAATACACAACTGCAGTCTGCAGACCTCAATCTGCCAATAAAGAGAGATACAATTGGATTCAGTCCTGTCTTGACACAACCCAAATCCATCGACCTTTAAGGATGGCCACAGCTTCTCCAACTCTCCGGAGGTTGACTGCTCCCTCCTCCACGTCCCTCAGAGTTATCGATAGCCGGCCGGGACTAGAGGCGGAGCTTCTTTGCAAACGGTCCACATAATTCTCCAGTTCACTGAGAGATGACAAAGACATCAAGCATGTGGTGTTAACAGTCAAGACGCAGAAAGGTTAACCATGTGATCAGCAGAGCAAAACAGAGGAAATTTAAATACATTTCATCGTTCTGCTAGTGGTCCTCAAATTAAGATAATGAAGATTTAGACACAATAATACAACAATTCTAATACTTTTAATTAATGGTACCTACAGTATACTCTACCTATGATTTTCTGCTGAGATTTTAAGTGGAATGCAGATTTGTGTGTTTATATGTGTCTGTTTAAGCTGGTTTAAGTCCTATCTATCAGATCGTTCTCAGTTTAGAACCAGCTTCCAGTTTTGGTTTAGGAGGCAGACACCCTCTCCACATTTAAGAGTAGGCTTAAGACGTTCCTCTTTGATAAAGTTTATAGTTAGGGCTGGCTCAGGTGAGTCCTGAACCATCTCTTGGTTATGCTGCTATAGGCCTAGACTGCCAGGGGATTTCCCATGATGCACGGCGCTCTTCTTATTCTCTCCCTCTCTTTCTGTACACATTCATGCCCCATTAATGCATGTTACTAACTTCACTTCTTCCCCAGAGTTCTTGTGCTTTCTCGTCTCGTAGGTTCTCATGGATCCTGGTGGAGCCTCCTGCCATGGTCCTGCTTGACTCCCACTGCCAATATTACTGATAATATTATTACTATTAATTATTGTCGTCATCATCATCTTCTTCATGTTCATCATCATCACCATCAGTCACTACTATTAGTGTAGTTGTTGCTACTTGCTCGCTCTCGCTCTCTCTCTCTCTGTCCGAGGTTTCTGCCTCTTAAAAGCAAGTTTTTCCTTGGCGCCGCCAAGTGGCTGACCCCTCTCACCCCGGACACAGACTCTTTGAAACACTTCCCTGTGGTAGGAGGCTGCAGTCTATCAGGACCTAAACCTTCTTGGGACCAATGGTAACATACTGGGCATAGACAGACTTACATAACTTAACAGGGTTAATGGCTAAGCAAGAACTGTTTAATTACTGTTAATGTTACTTATGTACTTAAATTCAAGTTATGTTGTTATGATGTTGATATGATTGAAGCAGGTTACTGTAGTAACTATAGTCTTTGAGACAGTGCTAGGGTAATGTTAGTTTAATGTTGTGCTTCACACAGACACCGTCTTTGCATGCAACTAACTCCCTTTTAACGGCACTGTTAATCTAAGAACACACACACACACACACATATTCAGCCTAAACCTCAGCACACACGTGAGGAGAGGGAGATCAAACCCTGTTCTTTGTCTCTAACCAACACATGTTTCATGCTCAGCTGAAACATCTGGTCAACCCCCCATGCGCACGCACACATACACACACACACACACACACACACACACACACACACTTGCTTCTATTATTTATTTAATAAATGCTTGTGTTTATACATGCTGGCCTATTTAAGAGTGGGTGATGCCAGCCTCTTCTATGCAGAATTCCACATCCTTCAACTTGTTTGCTATTAATAGTGTTTTTGGTTATAGTTTAATTTAATTATGAATGGGATTTCTGAATAAATAGTTTGGTGTAATTTATGAGACGGAATCAATCAATTATTGACTATCTTTTCCCTTAATTAAGGGTGGTGCCCCAAGGAACTTTAATTTAAATTAAAGCTGCAAGCAGCGTTGGGCGGGACCTTGCACTCCACACAACTCTGGGCGTGCTGCAGCCGCGTCGCGTGCCGCCGTAACACGTGCGGACCACGACATGAAAATCTCACGTAAATCAGCTCAAAATCGCCACGCAGCGCTTACTTCCTGTTGCCAGTAGGTGGCGCTATCACTATATCTGAATATTGTCATGCAGACATGTTCAGGACGGGACTCATCAAACGTGAAGATTCGTTGAGATCAGATAATGTACACTGAAGTTGTGAGGATGTGTTCAGGGTGGGACTGTTACAGAATATGTGAAGTTTAGGGGAGATTGGACATTGTACACTGAAGTTGAGTACTATCTAGTTATGGTGAATGGTCGAAATTCAACGCAACGCCACGGGCAGTCGTTTGACGGAATGTCGTAAATAGCCGACTTTTAATCATGAATGTCTTTAGATTGTGCTAATTAAATTTGAAGTTGATCCGATAAATTCCCTAGGAGAAGTTCGTTCAAATACAAGGCGAAAAATCACAGAAAATTAGCACGGAATTCAAAATGGCTGACTTTGATGCCACACCACGGACACGCCCTTTAATGTACATGCACAAATAGCACAACCTTTAATCAATACCATTTTTTGACTGTACTGACAAATTTTGAAGTAGATTCGATAAATTCCCTAGGAGGAGTTTGTTCAAATACAACGCAAATAAACACAGAAAATGAGCACCGAATTTTAAATGGCTGACTTTGATGCCACGCCACGGACACGCCGTTTGACGGAATGTCGTAAATAGCACAACTTTTAATCAGCACCATTTTTTGACTGTAATGACAAATTTTGAAGCAGATCTGATAAATTCCCTAGGAGGAGTTCGTTCAACACGAAAAGTTCGCTGAAAGTGAAAATCAAAATCAAAATGGCCGACTTCCTGTGGGGTTTGGGGTATGGGTCCAAGAGGCTTTTTTTGTACGTCTCGACATGTTACACGTGCCTACCAAGTTTCATACATATCGTTGAAACGTGGCGGCGGGGCTGCTTTTTTCTTATCCTTTAGGGGGCGCTACAAACACGACAAACACGATTTTTGGTATGTGAGCTACGGGCACCAGTCTACACGTGCCCTGTGAATTTAATACTCATAACTATAATGGTCTCCGCACAGTGATTTACCATGCCACCAGAGCGGGCGGCTGTGGCTCAGAGGCAGAGCGGGTCGTTCCTTAATCGGGAAGGTTGTGGGTTCGATCCCCGGCTCCTGGTGCCACATGTCGAAGTATCCTTGAGCAAGATATTGAACCCCAAATTGCTCCTGATGCCGTACATCGGTGTGTGAATGTGTATGAATGTTAGTTTCTGTTCGATGGACTTTGCCATCACTGAGTGAATGTGTGTGAAAGGGTAATTGTGGCACGTAGTGTAAGAGCGCTTTGAGTGGTCGGAAGACTAGAAAGGCGCTATACAAGTACAGTATTTTACCATTACCAGAGCGCCACCTAGTGGCGAATTGTTGACACATTTATTAGTGAGCCTCAGGGAGACATGGGCAACCATCCTACCAAGTTTCATTTTAATCACGTGCCGTTGCAGAGATGAACTTCTTCATTTTAAAGCGCGCCACCTAGTGGTGATGGCCTGAAATTGTGCACGATGCCTAAGGAAGACATGGGGAACTATGGACCCAAGTTTGGTGTCAATTGGAGATGCCAATGTGGAGAAATGGTCACTTTCCTTTTTTGACAAAAAATTTACAGGAAGTCTTAAATTTATAACGTCTTTATTTTTTGAAATATCAAAATTCTTTGGACTACTTTTTTTATTAGGACGGTCCCCTGGTGCTACATGAAAAATTTTGTGCCAATCGGAAAAAGCGTGTCGGAAGAACACCAAAAAGTAGTTTTTGGACATTTTGCGCTCTAGCAAAAAAAAAGTTGTAGGCGAAAGTGGGCGGGGCTTATGTGGGGAGATTCGGCTCTATTCTTTTTGAATGTGTGACAAACTATGCAGAAGTTATTAGCCTAAACACATTTTTATGATAGTAGCGCCACCTAGTGGCCAAACCGAAAGCGACGCATAGAATATAACATTTTTCACCAGGCCTGACAACTTTCCCAAATAAAATTGAGTTTTCATATATGTTCAGGGGGGCAAAAACGCAGTCGAAGGCGCTAAAAATAATAATAGGGAAATCGAGCAATTACAATAGGGACCTCCAGTGGTCGCTGGCTCGGTCCCTAATTAAAGTCATTTTCTATTATCTTTTGATAATTCATCAATTTTGATAGCCAAAATGAATTGATTGAACCAATATACTTTGGTGCGCCTTTAAACCCCTGTTGTACGAACAAATGCTGTGATTTTCATAGCACCTACAGTGCCAATAGTATTCATGTGCGATAGTCAACCTTTATATTGCTATACTGGCGGTGTGAGAAACATGTCACCTATCAGAGATCCATGAGGCAGTTCCAACAGCAAGCACATGCCCTGCCATGGGATCTAAATATGGGATAAAAAACATGGGAAAGGACAGAAGGAAGACACTTTCCCAGCATAATTCAAGTCTCCCGTCTCAAGCTCAAGGGTGGAACTTTTGTACACACACACACACACACACACACACACACACATATTTATAGCAAGTATAGCATGTATAGCAAAGATTAGCAAGTTTGCACTGATACAAATCTTTTTAATGCAGTTTTCTCTGCAGGATAATGTGAGGGAGCAGACATGTAATAAGCATAGGAAGTGTCAGAGTAACATATACATGAATGGCAGAGCCCAAGGTTTCCCAGCAGAGCATCACCGAAAGCATCACACTGCCTCCGTGGGCTTGCCTTCTTCCCATAGTGCATCCAGGTAAACAACGCACATGCACCCGGCCATCCACAAGATGTAAAACAAAACGTGATTCATCAGAACAGGCCACCTTCTACCTCTTGTTGCCAGTTCATTGCTTGATAGGTACTGACCACTGCAGACCGGGAACACCCCACAAGAGCTGCAGGTTTGGAGATGCTCTGTCGTCTAGCCATCACTATTTGGCCCATTTTTCCTGCTTCTAACATCAACTTTGAGGACAAAATGTTCCCTTGCTGCCTGATATATCCCACCCACTGACAGGTGACATGATAACCAGATAATCAGTGTTATTCACTTCACCTGTCAGCAGTCATAATGTTATGGCTGATCGGTAAGAACTGCAGGGAGTTTGTGTAAAATGTACAATTTGGATGACTTTTGAGCAGATATTTTCCTGTTAATATTACAGGAAGGATGGATTCTCTTTATATTTTTAAGAACTTTTATACAATTCTCTGTCTGTATTATCTATTTTCTTTATTTTAATAGGCTTCTTTTTGACAAATTCAGTGTTTCTATTTAGTAATCTTCACAGAACTAAATGAAATGCTAAGATATAGGCCTACTGTATATTTTAAGAATATTTAGTACAAGTCTTTTTACAACCCTTAAAATCAAGAAGGCCTTGTGACCCCAATGGGAACCAGTGAAAAGTAATGGTGTCCTGAGCAGAGAATGACGTCAAGCCTCTCTGAGCTTTGTTTACAAAGCCGGCCTGGCCGCACATGCAGGTTAGTGCTTGTCAGTCCGTCCATGTTCAACTGAGTAGAGTGACTGAAACTGCTGTTTTTCTGATGTATGTCAGTGAATTAAGGATTTATTTAAACAAAACCAAAATTGGTGATTGTTGAAACAGTGGAAAGATGAACAGATGAATTGTTACAACTTTACAATATTATATAAGTAAAATTAAAATTTTTGTCAATGGAATCTGGTTGGAAACAATTTTGTACAGCTGTTTCTGGACATACATAAATATGAATCTTCAGGTGAAACAATCTCATCTCATCATTCCTGGGAGAAAAGTGCATTATTAATGCATAATGCTTACTTTATATGCTGCTATTTTGTTAATGATGTGCGGGGAGACAATTGTATCATGCTCATTTTGAAACTCCTACTCATGATGCTTCATAAATATCAGGCGTCTGCTGACACCATCATCTGTGCAGTGAGGTCAGTGTGTATCTTGCTAACATGAGAATGAGTTCTGATGTCTCTGGAAACCCACGTCAGACCAGATCAAATCACTTCCCGTCCCCTGGCTCTATTTTTAACAATATGTTTCTTCATATTTTCTCTGTGTAAAGATGTTTCCGTGCACGCCTCTGATGATTTGACTTCAGCTGCAGCGACATCATTAGGGGCGTGATGTCAGAGCGAGTGGGTAAATGTTGAAAAGTCTAAACCACCATGTCAGAATTCATGGCCTCTACTGAAAGGTCGAATGAGTGCGTCAGCAAAAGAATATAGCTGACATCTTACATTTCCATGGAACTGATATTTTGCTGTGCATTTCCAAAAAAGTCCAGGTAGCATATCCAGGTTTCTGAAAAAAGGATACTCCAAAAACCTGATCATAACCAGCTTACTATTACACATGTAAACACACTAGTATTAACTGTTTTCAAAGCTCTTACTTGAGCTGTGAGAGTATTCTCTCCTCTGTGGCCAAGTAGTGGATCCTCTCCTCCTCCATCTCAGTTCTTCTTCTGTACGCTACCTCCTCAGACTGAGCCAGGCAATCACATATCAACACCACCAGCTCCTGACCTGCCATACGCAGCATCGAACTCACACTCTCCTGGTTTGACAGCTGGAACAAATGGAACAACTCAGGAATTAGGATTCAACTAAGGAGGATTATTAGGCCCTATTGAAATTAATCATTAAATTAAAAATTAGACACATACTATCACAGACAGATGCAGAAAAACTAATCCATGCATTTGTTACTTCAAGGCTGGATTACTGCAACTCTTTATTATCAGGTTGCCCCAATAAGTCCATTAAAACGCTCCAATTAATTCAGAACGCTGCAGCACGAGTACTGACAGGAACTAGAAAAAGAGATCACATCTCTCCTGTACTAGCTTCTCTGCACTGGCTCCCTGTAAAATGTAGAATAGAATTTAAAATCCTCCTCCTCACCTATAAAGCTCTTCATGGTCAGCCCCTTCATATCTTAAAGAGCTCATAGTACCCTATTACCCCTCTAGAACACTATGTTCTCTGAATGCTGGGCTACTTGTGGTTCCTATAGTCTCTAAAAGTAGAACAGGAGCCAGAGCCTTCAGTTACCAAGCTCCTCTCCTGTGGAACCAGCTTCCAGTTGTGGTTCGGGAGACAGACACCCTCTCCACATTCAAGAGTAGGCTTAAGACATTCCTCTTTGATAAAGCTTATAGTTAGGGCTGGATCAGGTGAGTCCTGAACCATCCCTTAGTTATGCTGCTATAGGCCTAGACTATCGGGGGATTTCCCATGGTGCACTGAGCTCCTCTCTTCCTCTCTCTTTCTGCACTCATTCATGTTCCATTAATGCATGTTACTAACTTCACTTCTTCCCCGGAGTTCTTGTGCTTTCTCGTCTCACAGGTTCTTATCGATCCTGGTGGAGCCTCCTGCCATGGTCCTGCTAGATTGCCATTGCCAATACTGTTGTTGCTGTGCACCTGTCTGTCTGTCTGTCTGTCTCTCTCTCTCTCTCTCTGTCTCTCTCTCTCTTCTCTCTCTCTCTCTCACCCGAACTGGTCGAGGCAGACGACCACCCACCTAGAGCCGAAGGATCTGTCCTAGGTTTCTGCCTTTTAACAGGCAGTTTTTCCTTGCCCTTGTCGCCAAGTGCTTGCTCATGGTGGTACTGTTGGGTTTCTGTAAATAATGTTACAAAGAGTTCGGTCTAGACCTGCTCTATTTGAAAAGTGTCTTGAGATAACTTCTGTTATGAATTGGCGCTCTACAAATAAAATTGAACTGAATTGAATTGAACTTCAAATTGGGTCAGTGTAATCTTAAGACCTAAATGATTATTATGCATGTGGTGACAAATTTAGCTGTTTCACCTATAAAAGAAGTAACTTCACTGTGCATGGTCCAATCAGCCACAAACTTCATGTTTGATAAGTCCCACCCTGAAGATATCTACATGCACATATTCAATTATAGTCATAGCACCACCTACTGGAATAGGAAGCAAGCCTTGTATGGCTCTGGTTTACAAATGATGTGCTCGCACACAACACGACTGAGGCATGCCCTGACACTGAGTTCAACACTGTTTGTAGCTTTAATTGTTATTATTTATGTTGCACTGACTATAATTAGTTGAGTACACAGGTCACCTGTAAGTGTCTCAGTTGGTTGAGTTGCAGCCGCAGCTCACACACACTCTTCTTCGCTAACATCAAGCTCTGCTGCATCCCGCTGTCAGAGGGAGGAGCCTGAAGAGCCAAGGGGGTAGGGATGAATTGGTCTGTCAAAGCAGCAGGGTTCTGCGCATCAGTGGACACTCCTTAAGGTCAAAGGAAGGGGATTTTAAGGTTATCATCATTTTTAAAGCGACTTAAGTATGTTGTAGCAGGTCATGTCACCATCTGTTGAAAATATCTCACCAGGTCTGTTGTTGAAAAGTTTGCGTCCAGCAGGCTCACTGAAATGACACACAGTTACATAATAAGCCATGCTTGGTTTAGCCTGGGCTTACACAGAAATAAATAAATGATTATTACCTGAAATGTCCAGTAAAGGTCTATTCTACTGTGTGTCTACTGAATTATTTTGTGGTTCAGTTGTATGAATGAGTTTACATACCATTGTTGAGTACACATACTGTGGATGAATCTAAATGAATATATTCTATGTGCTCAGATTAATTGTTGCTGTGGTACAAGCTGCTGTTGGGTTAAAGGGATAAAGGCAGATGTTACTGACCTGACAGTGTCCTTGACTCCTGGAACATCTGATCCCATAGACAGAGCATGGTGCACCAGTCCTGCTAAACTGGCTATCTGCTCCTCCATGGCTTTCATTCTCTCACTGGAAAAAAATAATATATAAAAATCATATCATGTTTCATATTCAGCTCTTTAAGTCCACTGTATGCAATTCACAAACGTATTAATATACAGTATGAGATATGTTCGGATGGAAACGAATTGGGCGATGCAACTGGGGCAAATTTGGAAATATGGTTAACACCCATAGTCACACTGGATTCTGCTCTCATCTAGAGCCATATGGCAAGAAGAGAGCTTGAAGTTTATTTTTTAAACTTTTGAAGTTAAAAAGTGGATATATATTCACTTTTTTCTCAACCAGACTGCTGCAAGCCATGGAGGTGGTCACATCAAACTTAAGCAAGGAAGTGCTGAAAATATGTCTGTTACTTGAATCCTGCTATTATTCAGAAAACAAGCATTTTAAAAGCTGTTTGCTTGTCATCTTGAGGACCGAAGTATGAATTCAGACTTTTTACAAATCTGCATCATGATGTAGTTCAGCATCCTTTTGATCGGTTTATTGCAATTAAATCACAGAACAATCTGTTAATTTTGGGATCATACTGCTGTAGTAAACCAGATTAAAGGTCAAATTTTTAAATTATCCCACAAGAAAACTCAGGCCAAAAATTTGCTTTGCATTTGGTCTGACCGTATTTTAGGTCTCAAGATATCAGGAAGAACCAGTGGACTTGTTCTTTATTGAGAGAACCCCTCATTAGGCACTTACAATAAAGTAAGAGGATTACTCTGGCTCTCAGCTCACCTCTGGGTGTTGCTGGCAGTCACAGGACCCTGAAACAGTCTCTCTGGTTGTCCAAGAGGGCTGTCCACAAAAACAGACGAGGTAGAGGATGATGAGCCACTTCTATTTACAATGTCCACTGTGGCCCCGTTACTGTCCCGCTGCAGGGACCGGCGAATCGGGGACATCCTCTCTGGAGACACCAGGCCCACCCCTCCAATGATCTGTCCATCAATCATCTTGACTTCATTAACTCTGTGAGGGGAAGGGGGCGGGGTTTTGGTCCCCAGTGGAGGACGTTGGCTGTCTCCATACTTCCTGCTCTTCGGTCTGGATGGTAGGAAAACAGATGGAACAATGGATGGATTCATACATCAACACTGTCTTCAGTGTGGTGGGTCCTAAAGATACTACTACACACATGTCAGCACATCTTTATTCCAATCAGTCACTACTCCAGCTGATGTCACTGATCAAATAGACCCTTTTCACAGCAGACATTTTGACTTGTTAAGTAGGAAAAGCACAAGTGCTGCACAAGAGGGGGCGGCTGTGGTGCAGAGGTTGAGCAAGTCGTCCCCAAATCGGAAGGTTGTTAGTTTGATCCTTGGTAAGGTTGCAAAGGGGTGGACATTTTCCGGAAACTTTCCATGGAAAGATAAGCTGGGGAATTTTGGAAACATTCCAATTTGGAAACTTTCATGGAAATTAATGGAAATTATGGGAATGAATAGGAAATTATGGGAATGAATGGGAATTTAGAAGAACTAACTGGAAAAGTTGGGTAATTCATACAATATTGAGATGTATTTTCTTTGTATTTGTACTACGTTGGTCATTTTAATGTCGATTTTACATGCTCCTACACACTTGTTTACATTGCTGCTTTAGTCCGGTCACCAATTTATGCATTGCACGGTGTTGCTGTGCGTGCAATACAATGTAAAGTTTTGTTTTCGAGCTGGTCTGCTAAATAGGCTAATGTAGCTAACAATAACACTAGCCTGCCACTGCCCCTGGTGGCCCCTGGTGGCCCCTGGTGGCTCGAGACAAACGCCACAGCCCTTGTTGAAATTGAAATAGGCGAAAATATTATTGAAGTGTAAGACTTGCAATAACGGAATTACTTGAAATGTTAGTGTTTCTGTAGAAAAATATTATTATTTCACATTGATCTTGTTTAGATGATCCACAAGCAATAACAACACAGTTGCTGCACTGGTGGCGTCCATGTTCTTTCCGACTCGTAATGCCCAAAGACAAATGGAACGCTATAAGTGGTACGAGCCAGGCAATTATGTCACGTTCTTACGGCAGAGCAACTCGGGCGGGGGATTTACGAGACAAATGGATAGCACCATAAGTAGTAGCACAAACCACTGACCTTTAGCTTAACATATGATGGTAGCTAGCATGCTGCCTTTGATTTATTATGGCTATGGTTATGGTTATATGCAAACAATACAATTAACCCAAATAGGTTAATAGCAATGGGTTATGTCGAAGTGTACTGAACCCCAAATTGCTGATAGTGCTTGCTCATGGTGGTACTGTTGGGTCTCTGTAATTAATGTTAAAGAGTTCGGTCTAGACCTGCTCTATTTGAAAAGTGTCCTGAGATAACTTCTGTTATGAATTGGCGCTATACAAATAAAATTGAATTGAATTGAATTGAAATTGAATTGATAGTGAATGTGTATGAATGAGTTAGTTTCTGTTCGATGGACTTTGCCATCACTGAGTGAATGTGTGTAAAAGGGTGAATGTGGCACGTAGTGCAAAAGTGCTTTGAGTGGTCAGTAGACTAGAAAGGTGCTATACAAGTACGGGTCCATATACCATTTAAAAGTGTAACTAATAACACTAACAATGTCTCCATTCCATTCAGTGTCCCAGTAAGCCATTTCAGTGAGTGAGCATTACCAGTACCAGAACCCTAGAACTGGGTCACCTATATCAAATGCAGCCATCATTAATGTTATTAATTCCATCTTTAGTTTTCCTACTTTGACAAGTCATTGTGTCTGCCTTTAATTTACTGCTTAAGGGGAGATACTTAACACAATTTTTACTGATATACTAATATATATCACCATTAAACTTTCATACTTGATTACTAACATTAAGACATTTTTTATTTATTTTTTAATTGTATGTTTAAATATGCAAATTAGGCTTTGTTAAAGATATGCTAATTTTCAAGGGTATTTCAAGGGTTTTTACAGAGTACATTTTGGATGTCTCCTTTTATCACTCCATTCACTGGAAGATACTGCTAACAACCATGAAAAAATTATTAAAACAATAAATCAGGCTATGATTGATATATGAGCAATCCCTCTGTAAAAACCTTCAGAATATTGATAAGAATAAAACTGGAAGGTTTCATTGGTAGTGAAGTGGAGATTTCTGGAGTATGAGAACAAACTCCTTTAAAGAAAACAGAATTTGAAGATATGTAAAATTGTAAAAGAAGTTAACTTAAGATTTGTATGACATCAACACCTATTTTGATCATATTTTTGTTCATTCTTGCACTAGCCAATTTACATTCCCTGATGACCTCACTAGTAGGTATAGTGCCAGTAATTACAGAATGTGGCAGGGTCCGCCATACCCACAATGCATTCAGATTACCCTAAAACACACAAGGCATTTAGAGTAGACGATGCAGCAATCCAGTAATCCGTTGTTACTTTTTGTAATTTGATCTGATTGATATCAGCCTCACTGTTTGCTGTTCACTCTCCTACAACTGAGTTCAATTCAGTTGTATGTGTATAGCGCCCAATCATAACACAAGTTATCTCAGGACACTTTGCAAAGTTGGATTTCTTTAGTTGCTCAAACTGTTTAATGTAGTAATAAACTGCACTTACTGTTACCATGGTAACCGCAGGTCACCACATTAACCAGGTCTAAAAAGTTGTGGATTATAACTAAAATTTTTGTTATAATCTAATCTTAATTTTGGAGTGTGTGAAGAGACTATGAATAAATATGTTCATATTGATCTCCTGATATTGGTTTCATCCATATTGGCCAGGTCTAAATAAAGAAAGGCAATAACAAAAAACACCCTATTGAACCTGCAGACGTAGTATGGACAGGACAGTCACTGTATGCTGCATTTGATATAGTAACAGGCTCAATCAGGTTCATGACCTCTGTCAACCTCTCACTTCCTGATCTCTGCTGTCACCTCCTCCTGCACATGTTTCAAGGAAGCAGAAATGACAGAAATAATCACCTTCAAACAGTATGGAGAGCTCAGAGGTGTCTCTTAGTCCAACTCAGCTGTACAGGGTTGTGTTTCCATGTTTGTGTCACTGGGGGTATATCAGTGCATGTACCTGTGGAGTGAGCGGGTCTGGTGGTCCATGCTCTCCCCATAGCCCATCAGGGGTTTAATGGAGACCCGGTACTGCTGCAGCCCCCCTGGGATCCCTGTGACCCCAGCATCCACCATGTCTGCAGCCAGAGAGGGAGGAGCGCTGCACTGGGAGGAGGCAATGCTGAGGCGACCTCCTCCGTCCTGCAGGTAGGAGCAGTAGGAGTCTGGGTAATGTGGTCCTCCTTCACCACGCAGCACCAGGGGCATGCTCTTACTGCTGGCAGCATCCTCATCTGCACACACACACACACACACACACACACACACACACACACACACACACACACACACACACACACACTTATAGTCACATGTCAAGTTATCAAACTTAAAGCTAAACAAGACTGATACAGATAGAGCCTAAGTTCAATCACTGTTTTTCTTCTCTAAATGCAAATACGCACTCATACATTGAAAAGTTTTGTGCAGTGTCTAGGATTTAGTGGCATCTAGCAAGGTAGGTGCAGATTGCAATTCCCTCCATTTCCAGGCACAAGGGAAAAACTATGGTGGCTGCAAAAAACGCAAATGGCCGTATCTAGAGCCAGGTTCAACATGCCAGACTCATAGAAGATGATCCGCTCCCTCTGTAGATAAAAACAGCTCATTCTAAGGTAACAAAAATACAACAACTCTTTTTTTGAGGTGACTATATTTGGGTTGTCCCAAGCCGATCTCAGCGATTGGCATCCAATCTTTTGTTTTACGTCAGTTGTCACACAGCTGTTTTTACTCACAAAGGGGATGCGGGCCGAGAGAGACAGCAGTAGAGAGTAGAGAGCTGACACAACCAAAGTCAACATGCCACTGCAAGTGCAATAAAAGCTCCACGAACAAAAAGCCAATAAGAGTAATCAATTAATGTAATCCATACAAAAGGTGGAGAGACAATGGAAACAGAATGCAGATAGTTCAGTGTTTGGTGCCTTGTTGCAGCCTTTGCCTGAGTTAACTCCCTCCAGACAGCAGCAAGACTTAAAAGATTACAGACGGTCTGTTTCTTATACTTTATTGTGTTATTTTTAAAAAAAACATTAAGGAACTGCTTCACATTCAGACATGTTTTTTCTCTATTCAATTGTCAGTACATTTTAATAGCTTAAATGCACTGTGCAACTGCATTATCTAAGCGAGTATCAGATCAGGACTATAAAATCCAGGGCGTCTGTGGCTCAGAGGAAGAGCTGGTCGTTCACTAATCGGAAGGTTGTTGGTTCGATCCTCCTGCCACACATCAAAGTATCCTTGCTGCATCGGTGTGTGAATGTGTATGAATGAGTAAGTCATCACTGAGTGAATGTGTGTGAAAGGGTGAATGTGGCACATAGTGTAAAAGTGCTTTGAGTGGTCAGAAGACTAGAAAAGCACTATACAAGTACAGGTCCATTTACCACTTACCAAAATCGGGACATCCCTAAATTATATACTAATGAAAACATGCCTATGTTCCATTTTTGACAATAGATCTACCTACATGTAACATACTAGACCTTTGAGAACTGTTTTGAATTGAAAATGTTTATTTGCTTTCTTTTAGGAATGCTGAATGAATGGCTGAACAGTTCAGTTGATTTTGTAAGCAGCGACCAACCCCTTTAATTTTTAATAAAAAAATGACAGTGCTCACAATAATAATGAAAAAAGACAAGAAATTAAAGCCGAAGATGTACAGAATACAACAACAGACATTCTGTTTAAAGCTTTCTAAAGCCCCTTTTAGATTTTTGAACGAGGGTCCTATCTTTTGTCCAATGTATGTTTTTTTTTTCCAAAACAGGCAACCTACCTGAATAGACTGCACTTATATTGCGCCCTTCTGACCACTCAAAGTGCTTTACACTAAATGTCACATTCACACACACATTCATGCTAATTTATAAGCCCTACACACCAACTCTGTCTCTAATCAAGCAAAATAAAAGAAGCTTTAATGGAGCTTTGCAGTATTTCAGACAGGAATAGAAGTTATTTGCACACATCACACGTTCCATACATTCTCCAATCATGTAAGCTTGTAATAACTAATCAATCACTGATCACTGATCAGTTGAGGGCCCTGCAATTATCTCACCAGGCTTGACATCTCTCCTCTCCAGTATGGCACTGCTGTTGGTGTAGAGGGTGCTCGATCGCCCCGCCCCTGACAGGCGTTCTCTTGGTAACGTGGCGCTGCCTGGATCCACCGGCCCAGCCCCTACTCCTTTGCTCCCCCCACCATACACCATTCTGGAGGGAGAGGAGGGCATGGAGCGGACCATGGGTGGGGACATGGAGCCCTGCAGACTGTGCAGGGTGCCGCGGCTGGATGAGGACAGGGTGTGGACTGGACTGTGACTGCCGTACAACACCTCTTTGGAGATCTGCAGAAAAACAAACGAGGGAATAATGAGAGTTATCAATTTCAATTCAATTCAATTCAACTGGTCACATTGGGCAGGGGTCCAGAGAAAACTATGGAGTCCAACATTGTTTTTGTATATCTACACACAGACTCCACATTCATTTTAGTGACCACCGATAGTGTAATCGGGTGTCATTACTGCCGACGTGAATAACTATCTTACTATTACTATATTATTATTATTTATTTTTTTTGATTGCTTGTTATTGCATGGTCATTATTTTTATTTATGTCTTTTCATTTTATTGTTGTATTATATGTTATTTTGCGCCTCATGTGAGCTGTTATGTCTTTTATTTATGATGTCTTATTTATTCTCCTGTACAGCACTTTGGTCAACTTTGGTTGTTTTAAAGTGCTTAACAAATAAAGTTGGATTGGATTGGATTGGATATATTAAACACATATCTTGAGTCATTATCTAGAGCAGACGTTAGTTTGTAATGATGTTTTGGTACATGCCCAGTCTACCTATCTTTCTGTTGGGGATTTCCCTTCTTTGAATGTTTTGCCGGCCGACGGCCTAACTTGCATTCCAAGTTTTATGGTCCCACTAAGCAGAGTTTTACAGATCAGGTTTAGATTTAAAGTATATCAATATCAGGCTGAATTTTGTGAATGATTTTCCTTGCCCTTTGAGGCAAATTTATGTTTTTGGGCTATATGAACAAAATTGACTTGCATGTTGGAAAATCTGGAAAAGCGGGAAATCTGAAGACTAGTTTCGCTATATCTTCAAGCTGTTACAATCCAAATAAAGGCATGAACCCCCCCCCAAAAAAAAAACCCAAAAACATTTACCCTAACCTAACAACTCACAAAAGGAAGTCTGTGGCTGATTTGCCACCACTCAACTTACTAACGCATAGGTTTTGCTCTGGAGGACAGAGCTCTGATCTCAATGAGGATAACAAGAATCCAGGTGTAAATGCAAGGGCAAGATCAGATTGGAGGAACCTGTTTAAAGACCTGGAGCAGCTGGAGAAACTATTTTTATTCTGCAGTGATTACCAGTAAATACAACTGTATATCTGTACAGTATTGGACTATATAAAAACTTTTATTTCACTGTGTCTGTCCTTCTCTCGTGTTCCCACGATTAATCATTTTAACAAGCATATTTTTCACTTGTGCTACACAAAGCAACATCACTATACATATGTGACTCAGCAGCACAGAATGATAAAGCCTAATCCTTCATGGCACTCACTCGGCCCCATTTAAATCAAGCTTGACATGCTGTATGCCCTGCAGCTCTGCTGTGTCTCAAAAACATTCTGTTGAAAAATATATATTAAACAAATATTTTAATGTGGTTTAGAGCTCAGTGAACATTTGGAAAACACTAAAATTCTTAGACGTTTCAAATTTAAGTCAGTGTCGCACAGTCAGTATTTAGACAATATTTAGTTCACCGATACAACTTGTATTAGGCATGCAAAGAAAGAAACCAAATCCAGAGTCAAACTAATCTCCACCAGCCATTCAAGTTAAATGGTAAATGGTAAATAGACCTGTACTTGTTAGCGCCTTTCTAGTCTTCCGACCACTCAAAGCACTTTTACACTACATGCCACATTCAAAGTTTCACACACATTGATCACACACACACTCAGCGATGGCAAAGCCCATCAAACACATTCATACACATTCACACACAGAGCACAGCATCGTGAGCAATTCAGGGTTCAGTATCTTGCTCAAGATAAAAAGGTATAGTGATTTTATAGTAATCACTATATTGACAGTACATATGTGTGAATCCAGTCAATATACATTTTTGAACTGATTAATGAAGGACTATCATAGATGTTATATGTTATGTTATATAGATATTTGATTATTACTGTACACAGATAAATTCAGAGTGTAACTATACAAAATGTGGTGATTTTGTTTTCTCCTGACATTGAAATTCAGAATGAGGCAGGAAGAGTGAAAGGCAGAATAGATGAGATGGAAAGATGAAAGCCTGTACTGTGATACTTATTGTTTACTCATTGTGTCGTCCCAGTCAACATGTGGGTGAAATCTGGAATCGCGACCTTTGACTTTTGAGTAAATAGTGTCACCAATTCAGTATCCGACCAACTGTGAAATATGGTCACAATCCCCCTTCTGTTCCAAATGATGGCGTTGACAAGTGGACAAAAAAGGGGTTTGAAGTTGACCTTTAACTGTTTGGGTAAAAACTGTAATCACTTAATCGTTGTATCCCATTAAACATCTGTGTGAAACTTTGACATAAATACAGCATCCATTCTTGAGTTATGACCAAAAACATGTTTGGGTTTGGGTCATTTTGAGCTTTGACCTTTGACCACCAAGATCTAATCAGTTCATCCTTGAGCCCAAGTGGACGTTTGTTCATGAGTTGCACTCGAAAGGATGGGGCAGATGGACGGACCAGACATACAATGCCTCCAGCCACAGCTATCGCCAACACAAAGGCATAAAAACATGGTTAAGGGCACGCACAACTGTGGGTCTCCTCAGTCAACAAACAGATTAAAAGTCATACAGACACAAATATGTCAGTCAACATATAACAATGTTGCTACATGAGCTACATACATGACCCCTCCCCCCTCTGGTTGGTCTGTGTCTTTTCCCTTCTTCACAGGAGACAGAGTGGTAGAGGGTGTGGCCATGGGATGGGCTACACCTGGTTTATCCTGATTGCTGGTCTTTATAAGTGGCTGATCAGTGTGTCTCGCTCTCACCTTCCAGCCAGCAGGTCCTTGGTTTGATGCTGTCTTTGGTTTTTGATACATGCATTACCTTTTTTTTTTCACACACTTCACCGATGCCCACACACACTCACTACACTACTGACCATACTGACGTACATATACATATTATAATTTTTTGTGAATATTGTTTAATTAAATTGATTTTTGCTTAAAACCTTTAAATTGTCTGTATGGTCTCCCTCCTCTGTCATGAGCCTAGAGCGGGTTCATTACACTAGCCAGATACAATGGATGTAAATGAACTATCTACTTAGCAAGCATTTTGCAAGCTAATTTAAGATGTAACTATTTATCTCTTTTATCTTTTAACCACTTTTAAAATGTGGTTCTCTTTTTAACATAGATTAAGAATATAACTTCGTCATAGTTTAAAAATGATAGTTTACATCACAGATGTCATTGCCATTATAGCAAGACTAAACTGCATAGGACCAACACTAATCCTCAATTTCCTCCCTTTGAAGTTACAAAACAGCCAGCCCTCCTCCAGCAAGGGTAGAGACATCTTTTTGAAACATTGTTTCTAACTACATTGCCCTTGCTGGCACTAGAAAATGAAATGTAAAGCTGGAAAAGTGAATGAATACTTTTGTCCATGTACAGTTATCACAATATTGAGTCAAATAATCAGAGTTGTCTCTTTGCGTGGCTGTTTTCCTCCGTCTGTCTATTTGACTGCAATTCTCTGCCACATATGGGCATTGTTATCTGTCCCAATATTTCAATTTCAATTTTATTTGTATAGCACCAATTCATAACAGAAGTTATCTCAGGACACTTTTCAAATAGAGCAGGTCTAGACCGAACTCCTTATAACATTATTTACAGAGACCCAACAGTACCACCATGAGCAAGACCTTGGCGATGGGGGCAAGGAAAAACTGCCTGTTAAGAGGCAGAAACCTAGGACAGATCCTTCGGCTCTAGGTGGGTGGTCGTCTGCTCAGGAATATGATTCCTGAGTTTAAGTACATACACCAAAACAATACCATGATAAGTACAAACTTCTTGCCTCAGTCAAAATCAGGCAAACCTCTCAAATGCACAAGCTTTCGCTATTATCTCCTGCTTAAAACAATCAGCTGTAAAAGTAATAAATACACAATAGTGTGAAATAAACAAGATGAAGACTTAACTCAGTCTGAGCAGTCAGGAGGCACTCATTACAGAGGTTCCAACCCAGATCCAGCGAGATTGTGGACTAAGAGGTTTGTGTCACATATTGATCTGTGATGAATTTGTGCAGCTCCTGTTCCAAACACACAGTTTTGTCAAAGTTACAAAATAGTTCGTTTTATTTGTGACTTACCTCAGTCAATAATCCTAGTAGCTGTGCAGATAAGAGGTGCACAGCGGCTAGTTAAGACTGAGTGGGTGACACCACTCAAATCTATCTCTTTATTTCAGAAGGGCGTTGATCGACATGTCATAACACATAAACCGCCAGGAGTCTGAAAATCCAACGTGAACTAAAGCCTGCGGTGTAACGTCTGGACCAGTTGCACAAGTCAATCAAATGATTGTTCCAGCACAAACTGAGTTGCCACAGTCTCAACTGTGACTCAGCTCTGACTGACTTTGACTTAAGGTTTCAGGCATCTCCAACTGCTTCAGAAACTGATTATGTTCACAACACGATAAAATATTGCAATGGATTTTCACTCCATATGCACTCATAAATCTTTTTAAATTAATTTTAAGTAACTGTGTTACTTTTTCTGTCCACTCCAATGAACGAAGAATATGACCATGATAAACCACCTCATGGTAAAAATGGCAATAAAAAGCTTTAATATGTAACTTTCCTTTTTTCATTTTATTCAGGTGACAGTGTTTTTGGTGGTTTTTAACTCTATATTTACTATATTGGAACCGGATAAAAGGATTTTAGTCATCGGACATCTGGATCTTAAGTTATCAGAGAAACAAGCTGAGCTAACGTTAGCATTAGCTCGGCTCGCAGCCCCTCGGGGACATCCTCTGTCTGCCCAACAGTGTTGGAGAAGCAGTGATTGTTAAGGTGGAACTGCTTTATTCAGTGTTTTTAGCGGTTTTAATCAGCGGGTCTGTTTGTTTTGGAGAGGAGGAGACCTCTGTGGATCATTGGGCTCCCGGTAGAAACCTCCTGAACCATAAACATTGAAGGAATCCTAACCGGAAGAAGCTGACTGCAATGACGGCAATATTGGTGAAGAACTCACATGATCCCACGCTACTTCACAACATCAGCAAACTTTGTATTTTGTAACTGCTTTGATATGACTACAAACACGTAGATTGAAGCCTGGCAGGAAGGATTCTTGCATGGTTTTGTGATCTCACATGTCAATTTTATTTGTATAGCACCAATTCATAACAGAAGTTATCTCAGGACACTAAATAAACCTCAACCATCTTTAGCAGCATATAAAATGACATACAGTATATTGTAACGGAACATTTTATCTGTATTGTTCACAAACACTGCTCTATATTTTGTATGTGGAAAATAAGACGGGGGAATGAACAGAGGACATTCCACAGAGGACAGGTCATGTCATACTGTTATCGGGTGTGTGAATAGCAGACATAAACAGAAGGCAGTGGACAGTTAAGGAGGTGCTGCTCTGTCAACATCTCATCGGTCATACTAGTGGGAGCAGAGCAGCGTCTTGGTTTTCTGACAGAATAAGACCCCCTCTCTGACAAAAAGCTCCCATAATCCCAGTAATTGGCAACACAGCGATAGTGTGTAATTGAGCATTTTATAAACATCCCACACTCGGGAATGGGAATTAGAGGCACGTTATCAGGACGGCTCTGAGAACATGAAGCATGGACTTCATGTCAAAATCCTCCTGCAGCAGCAGCAGCTCACACAAACACACACGACCCCTGGGTGTGACCTCTCTAACAAAATGTGGTGGTTGTTTATGATGAAAAGTAGACAAAGAACTCTTCTGTTCCTCACCCTGTCAATCTATTTAATCAGAGTTTGGGTCTTAAGTAGGCCTAGACCTGATTTAGGGGCTGATCACACAGAGATGCATCGCTAGAGGCAAAAAGTGTTGAGAAAGAAACGGCTCATGCGCCTAGGATGCAGGGCTACATGCACAACCAGGCGATATAGCTTCATTTCAAAGAGGCCAAGTGTTTCATTGATGAGCGGTGGGACTCCACGGCTTGCGCTGAAAAGTTGAAAATATTTGGACTTTTATGTGTGTCTAAAAACTGCTAGGAAACCACAATGCGCAGCACAAGAGAGGAGCATATGCCTCTCAACTCTATAAACAGATATCTGCATATTTTTTTAAAGCTAATAAAATGCAAAAAATTGTCATCAGACAATAACCAAAAGATTCAGAGATTGCATTTCGGCCAAGCCATTCCGCCTCTCCCAGGGTTTCCACTCTTTTCCAGGAGTTTTTGATCGACAATGCAGAACAGCTCTTAAAAAGATTCATATAAACTACAGTTTCGAGCAAATTGACTACATTAATTTGGCCACAGCCAGTAAGAAACAAATCAAGTGGAATTTATTTTACCTTACAGAAAATTGTTCATTACATGTTCTATTCACTGTGCATGTATTTATGAACCAGATTAACAAAATCATTAGAATACAGCGTTATTAGGCTGTAGATAAGACTTATTGGCTGTAATTCTCTTTTTATTGAGAAAGGAATTTGCATTTTACAGTCGCATGCTTTGTTGAAACAGACAAGATTTTAAGATAGGAAATTGTGATGTAGCTGTATGTCTTTTAGTATACTTCTGTACACATTTTCATAATCTCATTTATCTCTCCAGTTTTACCTTTAGCTACAGATCCACATCCTTTCATACACACTCAGACTCATTTAAAATTTACAAAAGAGATAACCAGAGAGAGAGGAAAATAAAACAATAACCAAATAAAACACAAAAACAGCACATTGAATATACTCTCTCTCCCTTTTTCTTTAACCCAAAGCTCTGCACCTATCCCACCAAACACATTGTGCAGTTCCTTTTTATTTCTGTTGGAGTAGAGATCCTAGTCATTTCAACAGTATAGCAAGTACAAGAACATTTCAAGCGATGAACCAAGGGGGTCTCTTGCTTACCCCTTCTGTTATACAAAGTCTAACCTAATTGCCGATATACACCACAGCCATAACATTCTGACCACCGACTGGTGAAGTGAATAGCACTGAGTGATCATGGCTCCTGTCAGCGGGTGGGATATATTAGGCAGCAAGTGAACATTTTGTCCTCAGAGTTGAGGCAGCGTGAGGATTTGAGTGACTTTGACAGGCATTTTCTAGGCTGCAATTTATCATATTTATAATCATGATAATAATATTTATCATTTATTATATTGTGATTATTTTTGACAGATATTGCAACTGCGATATGATTCATGATTAGTGGGAATGATCATCTTTGCATCACAAATTATTTTTTTACTGAAAAAACTATTACATTTTGACATCATGATGACGTAACATTTGTTGTGGTCTGTACCAAACAAACATGTTATCTTAAATCTGGAGAACAAGATTTGTATGTCAGGGCATCTCTGCAGCACTACAGTCCTTCATTATAATGCTGTTTGACAGACGTTTGACAGACATTTGACCTTTATCAAAGGAATTGCAGCTTCCTGCGATTTGGACATTGCACTTGGCCACATTGTGATTTTGATAATATTGTATCAACTATGATTCTACACAGTAGTATGAATCAGCCTTAGAGAAGCAGATAGATACTAGTCCCTACACACTGAGCTACTGCCTCCCCTTAAGTAAGCAATTAAATGAATGTTTTATGTAATATATCTTTGAGTATTAGTCAAACGTTAAATGGCTAAATGTTGCGTTTTTTTGGGACACAAGACAATTTTCAGTAAAATATTCTGATAATGACTTTGGTTAGCTCAGGGGATGCAATAATTATGGGTCATAACAAGCTGACATATTTGTTGATTATTGGCCGGGAGACGACTGCATCATTCATGGGGTGCAACATGTTTACTGTGGCCTTGTTGAACCTGTCTTTCCTCATATGGATCCAGCACACAGGCAGACATCCAGCCTCTGTCTGCTCACAGGGGTCAAGTGGAGTGCAGAGCCATAGCAGTATGCTCCTCTGTGATGGAATATAACATATACTAACACCGATATAAGGTTAAGGTTCTAAGAGATGGTTCTTGCACTGATGGCAGTGGGCTGTGTTCTAACCAACATCAGGCCTGCATAACAAAACATAGCCCCCTCATTCGTTTCAATGACACCACTGTGTTGATTCAGCACGGGTGTCGACACAGGGTACTCCAGTGCAGAGCTCCCTGTGTTGTATGCGAACATCTTATGAGACAACTAGACTCACAAGATCACAAAGTCCGACCTAATCAGACCAATCAGCATCCTTTGAGGGAGTACTGGCAGCTACAGTGGTGGGCAATAGGTGTGACGCAGCGATAAGACACCATTTGTTTAAATAACAATGGCAGCTGCTAAACACCTCAGTGTAGACGCTGCTAGTATCAGTTATATAGAGTGTTTCTTCATTGAAAGAAGAGCAAAGAAGGGCTTTTCTCCATGGAAAGGTTGGACTACATTATATGGTTCATTGATCCGATTAGTTGAAGTTCGCCCATAATAAACGGTGATAGACAGATGGTTCCTCCAATCACCTGTAGTAGTTTGTGAAAGTGCAACAAACCAACCCATTTGTTCTGTGCAACAAACCATCTGGAGTAGTCAGGTTACCTATCTCTGCTTATACACACAAAAATAATCCAAGTAAATCAAATCTAAATCATGCTATGGACCATTTAGTCTGATCAAAACTCACCAGTCCTGTCTGAAACAAAGCTACTCAATAGATTTATATCTGGACACTGGATCAACACTGTAACTAAAGATATGGAGGCTGAAGAGACAAGCAGAGTGTTGGCTGACTCACCCTCCCCTCTGCGTTGACAGGCCTGGCATGGCGGTTGAACACATGTGCTGGGTCTTTATGATAAACCTTAAGACAGGAGTGGGATGTGATGTTTCTAGAAGCAACAGAACAGAACACACAAGGGACATAATGGCTGGGTTACACAGAATCTCCATTCACACATGTGCAACAGATTATTTGAGATGTAGATTCAGTTTAAACCAGGGGTCTCAAACTCAAATTGAGTTGGGGCCACTGCTGGTATGGTCATCTCATAGGAGTATCATATTTTAAAAATATTTCAATTACTAACATCTTCTCAAAAAAAATGAAATAGCAGTTTCTATACATTTTCATAATTTTCATCATCTTTGTTATTTGCAGACAAACAAACCTCTTCCTGTCAACAGTTTGCACACATTTGCCATATTTTATGCTAAATGAAATACATTTTTATTGAATTGTCTTTTTATTTTAATTGTATATGAAGGGGCAGTTTAAATTGATATGAAACAACTAGACATTTTTTTTCAAAAATAATAATCTTGCGGGCTGGAGGGAGGGAGACGGGAACCGCAAATGGCCTGCAGGCCAGGTTTAAACCTATTCAGGATATAGAAATGAATGAGTGAATTAATGAATCAGATATTTACTTTATAAAGGGGAAGACTAATCTTTGTAGGTAAGTCTGTTCCTGATCTTATGACTATGCAGCTAATACAATGTAACAAAAACTATAAGTACTTATTTTGTTTTACATCATTAATAATTATTGATGATTTTTTATTTTTTTGTTTCAAGGTCCAGTGTATAGGATTTAGTGGCGTCTGGTGGTGTAGTTACGAATTGCAACTAACTGAATACCCAAAAACATCAAAGGTCCTACATCCAGTAACTACAGTCAGTGTTTGGTTTGTCTGTTCTGGGCTCCTGTAGAAAAATAGTGGTTCAACATGGCTTACTCACTCCCTCTGTAGATAAAAACAGCTCAGTCTAAAGTTCGATTGTTACATTTCATTCCCTAATGAAAACATACATTTCTGCCAATAGATCCTTCTAAATGTTACACACTGGACCTTTAAGTAGCCATGTGCTAAGATCTCAGCCACCTTACTAAAGGCCCTCACCTGATGTCCTCCAGGTCGTAGTAAACGTTGCGGCTGTTGTCTTTGATGTAGATGGCCATGCTTGGAGACTGCAGCATCTTCATGGTGAGCTGATGGGGGAAGGCGGTGACAAACAGAGCTCGCAGAGAATCCTGACTGCTGATCTCAGTGGGTATCCTGGCCTGCTTGGTCTCCTCCCCATACTGCAGGTACAACACACCTGACACAGCACACACAGGCAGGGAGGGCTTTAGTCTGTGACTGGACTAATACCAACACATTGACATGTGACAACAATAGTACAGTATACACAGTGTGTCTGACCCCTTCGTCAATGATGTGTAAAGCCACTATTATACTCTACACATTAGCACTGTATATATCAAATATATCGCTCTAAATATGCAGGGGATTCACAGTAGTCATACTCTTCTATTCAGTGGTTGTTGAAAACCATTTACAGTTAACTCTGACCCCTGAAATTGTGTAGTTTAAACAAATTACAGTGTTTCAGAGTCCCATCTGTGGCATATTGTAATGTCATTATACCATAATGACCACACAGTTAAACAACACCTCTCTGCAGTGTTAAAAAAACTGAACATTGTAGGTAATGGTGTAACAGGAGAGTATAGCGCAGTTCACATTATGTGATTTTTGCCCTGATTTTCCACTCACCGATTATTTTGGGAGATGGCTGACAAATGCTCCCAGATCAGAGGCATCCTCAGGTGAGGAGGAGGATCACATTGTGTGTATTGTTCAACAGCGACAAAAAAAAATCTAGCAGGCTAAATATCTGGTCGTGTCAGAGACTGGGGGAGCCATGCAATGAGCTACAGCCAGTTAGAGTAGACACAGGTAACCTCTCTCTACAGCACCATACAGGAAGCAGCAAACCCGTAGTTACTTTGATAATAGCCGGAAAAAAACTCTTGTGCTTACCGATACACACACAACATAGACAGACAATAAACAGCATTATGAGTCGGTGTTCAATTTGGCATGTACTGTATCTTAGTAAGATTATTTTACTAAGAAATTTTTGAAACGTCCACTTCTCATACCCTCATTTTAAACTACTTTCCTAATTAAACATGATGTCCTTTTTATTAATTACTCCTGATGAAACCTAGTTTGCAGACACCACAACTGACCACTCTAAAAGTCATGTAGTGTGTCAAAGGCTACAATCACCACACACTCATAGTCCTGAGGAGAGATCTGTTACCACAGCAGGGGTTCCCAAACAAGGAACCTCACAATAGATGCACATTAGACCACGGACCTTCAATTCCAGTTGATTATGTCTTAAGGAATCCACTTATATTTACGTATATTTTGTATTTTTAGGTTTCAAGATGAAGAAGTCTTTGTAGTCATAATCAAGTCAATGTCTTATAATAAATAATTAACCTGAAACAGGGTAATTTATTAAAATAAAACATGTCACCATTTTAATTCTATTTATGTTATTCTCCTCCTTGTGTTAAAGCGCACGATAGGGGGAGAGCAAGGGGATACTAGGTCATAGACTGTGGATGTTGTCCTTCTAACTGTAGATCTGTTTTATTTTTAATAACTTTGGTACTTTCGATAGTATCAAATGTATAAATAACAGAGATTGGTTTTTTTTGTTTTAATACCTGGTATAAAAAAATCTAATTATCAATACTTTCGACAACCCTACTGGGATGACAATAAATTACAATCAAAATGAAAATGAAAACCAAAAGAATGTGCCTACTTACCAAGGGGCCTCTCTCTTGTCTGACCACTCGACCGCCCCACAGGTAGACTTGCTCTGGCTTTACAGCCCCTTGTGAAGGGGGCTGTGGGGGGCAGCACCTCTCCATCAGACATGGCCTCTGTGGCCAGAGGGTCCTGCTGCTCCACCAGGCCTAGTACACCTGCACAGGTGGGGCTTTCAGAGGGCCGGGGACTCCCCACCTGGATATAATGAAAAAGAGGAAAAAAAGATTTTAGTCCCGCAGGGAGAATAGTATCACAGAGTCTTGGAAGTCCTTGGAACAGGACAGAAGGTGAGACGGTTTCAAACTTCCAGTTGGCTTTTTCAGAAGGGCAATACATACAATTGTTACAAGGTGGTTCATCAGAGGAACAATTCAATTCAATTCAATTTTATTTGTATAGCGCCAATTCATAACAGAAGTTATCTCAGGACACTTTTCAAATAGAGCAGGTCTAGACCGAACTCTTTAAAACATTATTTACAGAGACCCAACAGTACCACCATGAGCAAGACTTTGGCGACAAGGGCAAGGAAAAACTGCCTGTTAAAAGGCAGAAACCTAGGACAGATCCTTCGGCTCTAGGTGGGTGGTCGTCTGTCTCGACCAGTTGGGGTGAGAGAGAGAGAGAGAGAGAGAGAGAGAGAGAGAGAGAGAGAGAGAGAGAGAGAGAGAGAGAGAGAGACAGACAGACAGGTGCACAGCAACAACAGTATTGGCAATGGCAATCTAGCAGGACCATGGCAGGAGGCTCCACCAGGATCAATAAGAACCTGCGAGACGACAAAGCACAAGAACTCCGGGGAAGAAGTGAAGTTAGTAACATGCATTAATGGAACATGAATGAGTGCAGAAAGAGAGGAAGGGAGGAGCTCAGTGCACCATGGGAAATCCCACGATAGTCTAGGCCTATAGCAGGATAACTAAGGGATGGTTCAGGATTCACCTGATCCAGCCCTAACTATAAGCTTTATCAATGAGGAACACCTTCCTCATTTCCGTATTAGTCACACATTACTAACTGTAACATCCACAATGCTTGCCAACACTGTGCATATGTCTCGGGTTCACAGTGTCAGCCAAGTATACTTACTTTCACCTGGTGACATATTCTAATGTCAGTGGAGGGTGGGAGAAGTCAGGTCAATTCTACCGATCCCCGCAGGGAAATCCTTTCTCTGCATTTGACCAAGTACTAGGAGCAGTGGGAAGCCACTGTACACTGCCTGGGGACCAACTCCAGATCTAAGACTTGGTCAAGAGCACTGACAGAATTAACCTCACATACATGTTTTGATACAGAGAGTATATGGCTTGGACACAGTTAGTTTTACTTTCCTCTTACCTTACCAGAGTTATATGTTATTGGCATTTCAGTCAGACAAAACTACTTCCAATTATATACAATAAACTCTTAAATAAAGTCCAGGACTGCTGGAGTCTGGTGTTTTCAATCCAAAATTAACTTTTCATCTGAATATTTTAAAATTAGGCATTAACACAATATTTAACAAAACAAATACTACATATATTACATCAGACAGGATGAATAAGTCCAATTCTGAGTTGTCCTGCTTCTGCCTTGGCTACGTCATGGGTGGGAAGCCAGTGAGGGATCATGCTGTTCTCTCTGCACAGTATCCTTGTCTACCTCCTCAGGACAAGAGAACGAGTTGGCAGCAACAAGGACTGTAGGACTTCAAGGCTGGATTACTGCAACTCTTTATTATCAGGTTGCCCCAATAAGTCCATTAAAACGCTCCAATTAATTCAGAACGCTGCAGCACGAGTACTGACAGGAACTAGAAAAAGAGATCACATCTCTCCTGTACTAGCTACTCTGCATTGGCTCCCTATAAAATGTAGAATTGAATTTAAAATCCTCCTCCTCACCTATAAAGCTCTTCATGGTCAGGCCCCTTCATATCTTAAAGAGCTCATAGTACCCTATTACCCCACTAGAACACTACGTTCTCTGAATGCTGGGCTACTTGTGGTTCCTATAGTCTCTAAAAGTAGAACAGGAGCCAGAGCCTTCAGTTACCAAGCTCCTCTCCTGTGGAACCAGCTTCCAGTTGTGGTTCGGGAGGCAGACACCCTCACCACATTCAAGAGTAGGCTTAAGACATTCCTCTTTGATAAAGCTTATAGTTAGGGCTGGATCAGGTGAGTCCTGAACCATCCCTTAGTTATGCTGCTATAGGCCTAGACTATCGGGGGATTTCCCATGGTGCACTGAGCTCCTCTCTTCCTCTCTCTTTCTGCACTCATTCATGTTCCTTTAATGCATGTTACTAACTCCACTTCTTCCCCGGAGTTCTTGTGCTTTCTCGTCTCGCAGGTTCTCATGGATCCTGGTGGAGCCTCCTGCCATGGTCCTGCTTGACTGCCATTGCCAATACTGTTGTTGCTGTGCACCTGTCTGTCTGTCTGTCGCTCTCTCTCTCCTTTTTTTTTCTCTCTCTCTCTCTCTCTCTCTCTCTCTCTCTCTCTCTCTCTCTCTCTCTCTCACCCCAACTGGTCGAGACAGACGACCACCCACCTAGAGCCGGAGGATCTGTCCTAGGTTTCTGCCTTTTAACAGGCAGTTTTTCCTTGCCCTTGTCGCCAAGTGCTTGCTCATGGTGGTACTGTTGGGTCTCTGTAATTAATGTTAAAGAGTTCGGTCTAGACCTGCTCTATTTGAAAAGTGTCCTGAGATAACTTCTGTTATGAATTGGCGCTATACAAATAAAATTGAATTGAATTGAATAGTGCAGTCTGGACAAAAACTGTCAATTAAACAAACAAATTTTCTCAGTCTTGCCTAATGTCACTTCAGATACATTTCAGTCACCTATGGTCCACAATGGGACATTTGAAGATACAAATGGTAAGGATACAAGTTGACTCAATGACAACAAGAGTTTGTACTCCATTATTTTACCTTCCAGGAGAGTACTGATGAATCAAGAGTTGCATTCTGATCCTAGTGATGAAAATGCTCCAACTAACGAACGACTTCAGCTCACATATCCTAAGCATATGGCTGCCAGAAAGCCCATAAAGCTGCACTCTTGCCTGCAGTATGTAAAGCAGGCACTGTAAGAAGTAGTCAACCAGACTGGAAGTGAGTCAACCTATATTGGTTTACAAACTGGTTGCTGAGCTGAGAAAGATGGGAAAATTGGTCCACAAATACGGTTGGATACCGAGACATTGTGCCTTTACTATCAGACTGAATCAAAACGCAGATGTCGATGTCTTATTTCACTACCAGAGCTGTAAATTGAAATAGTTTCCCTGTGGTGCAAACGTTAAAGGCAACAGAGGCATCACTGCACCTGCCATCACTAGTTAACATTATGGCAACTATCTCACTACATGGCTCTAGCGTCAGGTAGCCTGTTAGCTTGTAGCTACCTTAAACATAATTAAAATGCAGAATTAAACGGTCTACAGTATGGCTGTATTTCACTAGAAAGGATTCCAACACTGGATGGGACGTCTAACAAATATTATTTGTGAGTGATAATATTTCTGAATTGCTGTAGTTTGAAGCTGAAGTTTGTAGAATATCAAGAATACTTACTCAAAATGTAGTACTGTAACTGTATGTGTTAAATTATTCAAGTTGGTTTTATTAATTATGTGAATGTTATGTAAATATATGTAAATATAAGTGTTCTGTATTAATTGTAGTGCTGTCAAACGATTAAAATATTTAATCGCGATTAATCGCATTAATGTCATTGTTAACTCGCAAAACGATTAAAATATTTAATCACGATTAATCGCATTAATGTCATAGTTAACTCGCAATTAATCGCAATTAATCACACATTTTTATCTATTCTAAATGTCCCTTGATTTCTTTTTGTCCCATTATTTTTTCTCATTTTAATGCTCTTATCAACATGGAAAAGTGGATCAGCTTGCTTTGTGCAAATGTTGTTTTTATTGAAAAATCATCCATTGTCACCTGGTTTTGACGAGGGGGCGGAGAATTCACATCAACTGTGTGCTTGGCCATCAAGTGGTATTTCAGACTGGACGTGCTGCGATGATAGCTCAGTTCACAACGACAAAACACACAGATCACTTTGGTCTTGTCAATGGAACCAACCAAAGTAAACTTTCCATTCAGAATATTATTGGCATCCATTTTGGCGTCTTGCGCTCGCCATCCACTCAAAACGTAACGTCTACTACTCTTAAACAAGTGTGGGCGGCGTGCCTGTTGTTTTGTTTCCGGTCTAGCTAGATCCGGTGTGGTGTTGTAGTTTCTCTAACGTTACTAGTTGTTGCAACAGCATGTGAAAAAAACTACAAAGTGTGCTAGGCCAAAAAGAACATTAATCTTGCGATAAAAAAATTGACGCCGTAGTGACGCCGTTAATAAAGCGTTTAACTGACAGCACTAATTAATTGATATCAATATGTTTAAGTATACTTTGAATTTCATGTTCAAATTTACATCATCAATAAAAAAAGCCATTATTTAATGATGTTGACAGTCATTATGTGCTCCTTCTTTTTTTTAACGGTTTAGCACCCGTATCAGAAATATATATAAATATATATGATCATGACAACACAAAATGACATCCAGTCTGATTTTTGGTTTATATATGACCACTTAACCTGTCTAGACCATGCTTTAGTCTAGAAGAGTCAGCAATGTGTTAATTGTATAAACCATACCTGTATAAATAATTGCATCACACACAAACAGAGAGACACACGCACACACAGAGTGCACATTTTAATAAACATCAGGTGTTAATATTTACTCTGCTTTCCAACCTAGCTGTCAGACAAAACACACATGTGAAGCTCACATACGCTGGCCTGCATGTCAACATTAGACAGTGTGTGTATGTATAGGTGCATTGTGTGTCCCCACAGTCGCTACTAGCTGTAGAACACCATACACTCTGCTTCAGTATGTGCCAGCACATTTTTACATCAACTTCAAGACAGCTGTCACATTCCATTATACAAATAAGCTGATAAAGTTCAGCAGTTGTGTGCACTGGCTCAGTGCTCCATGTTTTTTACAAGACAAATATAGGTGTGTGTGTGTGTGTGTGTGTGTGTGTGTTTTCTTAACTTTCTTATGCAGCAAATGTTAAACATAGAAAGATGAAAAAAGGAGGCTACTTGAGGTGAAGAGACAACAGAATACACCAGGGGCCAGCTGTTCAACTCCCACACAGAACTTCTTCTGTAGAGCTTGCTACATATTTACACCTACTAGATGTTTTTGCTGTCTTTTACCATTTACTAACTCTGCTGTCACTTCAGATCCTACCACTCCCTCCTGCCCTGCAGTAACCCCTTTGTTCCTGCCATGAATCATGTGCTCAAATTGTAACTAATGCTAAAGTATTTAGCCAGAATACTGGTGGATTTAAAGAACAGCATTTAGACAAAATACTGTCAGAAATTAAATATAATATTCATAGGTATGTTTTCATTAGAGTGTAATCACCACAAAATAAGAATTGTTGTGGTTTTGTTACCTTAGAATCAGAGTCCACCATGTTGACCCGCCATGTTTCTACACTAGCTCAGAATGGACAAACATGAGGGACAAAAGATGCCCCTGTGTTTAACCGTGTGTTAAAAACAGATAGCAGACTAAAATAATATTTTACGTGGGTAGACCAGGCAACAGAATTCATTGGTAGACGTCTCATTCGCATTTATGCTAGTTTTGGCCAACAAAGCGTACCGGTAACAACTGCAAGAGAAAGGGAACTGGTGAAACCAAAGTCCAAATGCTAGGACCAGACCAGATCAAGAAGAACTGACACTTTATTGTGGTAAAAAGTCTGAATGGAAAAGGTGCCAAGATGACTGAAAATTATGATGGGTCAAAAAATATGTATATTAAAGCATCTTAGAGAACTGGACTTCCGGTTAGCGTTTCAAGATGGCGGCACGGATTAAAACCTCTCCAGGTCAATTTAATAAAAAACTCCACTAATATGTGTGTTTCCTCTATGTTGATTTTGGACCCGCCGCTGTTAAATTTCTGCCGCCAGAGTATCAGAAATGGGGCAGACGCACAATGTAGTCACGGTTTGCCTTTTAAATGATCCTGCCGACATAATGCACCCCCGTTGGCTGCCGCTCACATTGCAACTTAACAACAAGTAGAACTATTCAGAGGTTATTGGGGCGGTCCAGTTTAACTCCACATACTGTTGTGTTGATGTAGCTTATTGTCAAAACTTTCGCTTTCTTCCAAGTCGACTATTAAACTAACAGCTCCACCAAAAACGTCACCGCGGTGGGTCCGTTTTAATTGGACAACGTTCAACTTGTCACTTCTCAGCTCAACGTCCTGATATCAAACATCTGGAAACATTAAAATGGTAAATATATTGATTGTGTTGCAGCGAAGTCTCACTTCTGTTTCACTGCTAAAAAAATCCTAGAGGAAACACTGATATATGTTTATAATACAAGCCCTGTAGGATTGCTGTCATTGTTGTATAACCAGGCTCAGGTTAATCTTTTTGTAAACATATAAACATAGAATGAAAGCCAAATAACTTTATTTTAATATCTAGTGAAATTTAGCTAGCTCTGGCTAATGTTACACTACCGGAAATCAAGTCTTCTTAGCCGGTCTAAAACAGAGGATGCCAGTGCCCAGTGAAAGTACAGACATGACCCACCCTCTGACTCCGATTGGCTAGTATGCATTGCCTTTGTTGCTTTATGTTGGTTAGGAGTAAAGAGTAAGATTGGTTAGAGTTTAGATGAGAATATCAGGGTAAGCCAGTCAGAGTAGTGCAGGTCATGACTTTGTCATCATGGGAAAAAGAATGGCAAACGGCTGCTGGGGCTAATAAATTACATTACATTGGATTGGTTCATAATTTTATAAGGAGTACTAACCTGCTTTATCTGAGAAGTGTTCCAATTCAATTCAATTCAATTCGATTCAATTCAATTCAAATCAATTTTATTTGTATAGCGCCAATTCATAACAGAAGTTATCTCAGGACACTTGCACTGTTCAATGTTCCAAGATAACATTTGAATGATTTGGCACTGTAGATTCAATGATACCCAATCCAGCATTTTAGGCTACTGTATATCGGAGGCATTTCCGATTCAGTTAGGACACTGGTTCTCTAACTATGGTACGTGTACCTCTGGTGGTATGCAAGCTGCCTCCAGTTGTAGCAAAGGAATCTCTGAAATGTTTTGTCAAAAAGACATATTTATTGTATCACAGATGGATACCTCATCCCTCTGTTCTCTATTTTGGAACGTATATTATTTCCACACATCTAGTTTAACTTTTTTGTGGGGGATACAACGGGCAAACTGAGCCTTCAGCCATGGTGACAGGTTTAGGATTTTGGAATATCTGAAAAAGATGCAGCTCCTCCTTGTCACCATGTCCAAAATAAATCAGGAAATCAATATAGGACTGTATGCTGGAGAGCTAGACAGCTTTTTCAGCTCAAGCCATGTGAGGATCTACTTCAAAATTGGTCAGTACAGTCAAAAAATGGTGCTGATTAAAAGTTGTGCTATTTGTGCATGTACATAAAAGGGCGTGTC